CATGCACTCAAGAGGTAAAGAGGTCCTAAACAGTTACTTCAATTAGAGTTAGGAATTGTAGCCTAGTAGTTAATTAAGCCTGTGAACTCTTGGCACCCAGACTGGCTGGGTTTGAATCCCAGCTTCACCACTACTAGGTCTGTCAACCTTGGCATGTTTCTTCTCCTCTTTGTGCCTCAGTTTCTGTATCTGGAAAATGGGGATAATAGTATTACCTACCCCAAAGGGTGGAGCCCTGGTAGTACAGTGGTGCTACGGCCGCTAACCAAGAGGTCAGCGGTTCAAATTCAACAGCTGCTCCTTGGAAACCCTATGGGGAAGTTCTACTCTGCCCTATAGGGTCGCTATGAGTCAGAATCAACTCGAAGGCAACGGTTTTTTGCTTTTTTTTTTTTTTTCCATGGGTACTTCATAGGGAGATATATGTAAAGTGCACAATAAGTATTAGCTACCATTATTGTTGTTGGTATTATTAATATCTTTGGAGGTGATAATTTGGGTTTGTAGAAGTGTTAAGGAAACCTGTTGGAACAGCATCATGAATTATCAGGACTTAAATGATACACAGACCTGAAGGCTTGGTCCGTTTTAAAGCAAAAGGGGTCCAGAGGAGAGAAATTGTGTTTATGGGACAGTTGACTTGAAGTATTTGAAGCCGTCTTTGCATTCCTAAATATCTAAACACCATCAGAGTTGTGAGTTTGACCTTTTTCATGAGGTTAAGATAGATGTAAATTAGAATTTTAAGTTTGAATAGAGTTTCTTCATTCACTTGGCAGCCCTTTGCGGAGTCCCTACTATGTGTCGACCCTATTTAAGCCTTGCAGTATAGGCAGGCTTAAGGTTCGGTTTCCTGTCTCATCCTGTCTTGGCTGACACACCTACACACTCACTGGCATACACACACATACACGCTCACACAACGCGTACGTGTATCATCTCTAAAGTTCCGTCGGCTGCTACACATGAAACTCAAGGGGTTTTATTCAAAAGTCTCAGCATGACTGAGTTCCCTTTGCATTTGCATATTCTGTTGGCCAGGTGGCAAGCTAGGATTAAGTGAATAAGGGAGAATCTGCCAGTTGGCTGCAAACCACTGTCTGTGCCTCAGACAGCAGCTACCTGGGCCAGCCTTCATGAATTATCAGGACTGATTGGTGCATTGTCCTGTCAGGCAGTTTGTCTGTCCTGGCATCTGGCTGAATTCCCCCATCAGCCCCACCTTCCAAGGGGCTGGTTTAGAGGCTCTGTTTTTCTTTTGTATGCTGGACAGGTAAAGTCACTACAAGGGCTGTCACCCAGACTGACAGTTTCCCTTTGCTAAGATGGGCCAACAGAGGCCAAGGCTGAAAATCTCAGTAAAAACAAATAGCATTTCAAAAGAGCCTTGTGCATTTCCCACTTTTGTGCTCCTGTTGCCTCATCAGCCAAGTGTTGTATGAGCCACTTGAAAGGACACCATTAGATTTTTTTCCATCACCTTTAACAGAAACCCTGTACCCCTTAAGCAATACCCTCCTGTTTTCCCCTCCCATCTTCCCCTGGCAACCACTAACGAACTTTGGTTTCTATAAAACCAAAAGAAAACCCAAACCTCTTGCTGTCGAGTTGATTCCGACTCATAGCAACCCTATAGGACAGAGTAGAACTGCCCCATAGAGTTTCCAAGTAGCACCTGGTGGATTCAAACTGCCGACCTTCTGGTTAGCAGCTGTAGCTCTTAATCATGATATTTCATATAAATGGGATCATATAATATTTGTCCTTCTGTCGCTGACTTACTTTACTCCAGACCTGCCCAAGTGAGAGACGGTGTCTGGGTTCAAGATAGTTCTGTCTGAATCCAGACCTGGCTCTTAAACAACACACAGTGGGCCCAGCCAGGCACCTGGGGCTGCAGGGTAGACCCAGAGTCCATGTCGGTGGTGTGCTTCCTTAGAGAAGGACTCTGTTTGAGGCTCGGGGAAGTGCTCAGGAGGAGTCATGCTTCACCAGGACAGTTTCCATGACTTAAACTTCCTGTGCCAGGGTCTCCTCAAGTGTAAACCAGGCATAATATAGCCTCAGAAGAAGAACAACTTGCAATTAAGGTCCTTGAAGTCTTTTGAGATTGTTACACAGGATCAGGCATAACCGGGTAATTTTGGGCTCCCTGTTGCGATTTCAGATTTACATCTGCAAAACTTTGTGTACAAAACTCATAAAAGTCCTTGTCTTGAATGATTCCGTAACCAGTTCATAGCAGTTAGCCTTCCATTATCAGTGACATTCACTCTTGGTAGCAAACAACAGGTCTTGGATATGTCAGTATGTTGAAAGTATCTTTTGGAGGAAATTTCCATAAGCCACTCATTTACTCAATCAATATTTGTTGAGGATCTGCTTAATGCCAGGCACTGTTGTGTTAGAGACAGAGCCATAGAAGAATCAAAAGGCTTTCCTTTCTTGGAGCTTACATCACAGAAAGAGGAGACAGATAATAACCAAATGTGCAAATAAATAAACAAGTTGCTATGAAGACACACAAGCAGGGTGAGGTGAGGGGCAGGCTGGGAGTTGGATCAGGGTGCTCAGGGAAGGACTCTAAGGTGAGGGGATGTGGAGGTGAAATTCTGAATGGCAAAATGAACCACCTCTGTGAAGATCTGAGGATGGAACATTCCAGACAGAAGGGGAAGACAGATATAAATTCCCTCCTGATGCAGCAATTAAGTGCTTGGCTGCTAACTAAATGGTCAGCAGTTCGAACCCACCAGTCGATCCATGGGAGAAAGATGAGGTAATCTATTTCCCTAAAGAATTCAGAGCTGGAAACCCTATGGGGCAGTTCTACTCTGTCTTATAGGGTTGTTATGAGTCAGAATCGACTCAATGGCAATGGGTTTTGGGTAAGACTGGAAAGAACTCAGAGTGTCTGAAGGGACTGAAGGAAAGTTTTGTGCCTGGAGCAGAGCAAGCTACTTGGAGGTTAGAGAGGAAGACAGGAGCCAGGTCATGTAGGTCTCACTGGCCATGATAAGGAAATTTATACTGGGTGGAACCAGAAGCCACTGGAGGTTATAAGCAATGGGGCCACACCACCTGATTTTGAGAAACTGCACGTAATACAATATTCAGTGCAAGAAGTATTCTCAGATCTGAAACTGTGTATTCAGTGCTATTTCAACTATTATATATATATATATACACATATATGGAAACCCTGATGGTGTAGTGGTTAAGAGTTCAGCTGCTAACCAAAAGGTCGGCAGTTTGAATCCACCAGGCAATCCTTGGAAACCCTATAGGGCAGTTCTACTCTGTCCTATAGGGTCGAGAAACTCTTGGAGGGCTTGATCCTTTTTCTAATCTTCATGACAAGACACTAGCAACCTCTTTCCATGTGGGTGGACAGATCCCTGGATATATACTGTATATATATCCATTGAGGTATTGGTGGTTCGGAGGTAGAATACTTGTCTTCCATGCAAAAGACCTGGGTTTGATTTCAGCCAGTGCTCCTCGCATGCAGCCACCACCCAGCTGTCAGTGGTAGTTTGCATGTTGCTATGATGTTGAACAGGTTTCAGTAAAGTAAGACAACCTAGGAAGAGAGGCCTGGTGATCTACATCCAAAAATGAGCCAATGAAAACCCGGTGGATCATAATGGTTCGATCCACAACCTGTCATGGGGATGGCACAGGACCAAGCAATGTTTCATTCTGTTTGCATGGGAAATTGTGAGTCAGGACCAACTTGATGGCAGCTAACGACGTTTGTCTCCAGAAAATAAACTAGAATAAGATACAGCAAACATTTGTTTGCTATTGTTTTCTGAGTGGTGGACTTACTTTTCCTTCGTTAAACCAAAAAACCAAACCAAATACTATGAGTTGATTTTTTTAAATCTTTTTTGTGTGTGTATAAGTGCTTTTGATGAAGGTTTACAGAACAAATTAGTTTCTCATTAAACAATTAATATACATTTTTTTGTGACATTGGTTGCCAACCCTGTGACACATCAACACTCTCCCCTTTTCAACTTGAGTTCTCCATATGCATTCATCCAGCTTTCCCGTACCCTCCTGCCTTCTCATCCTTCCTTACCCTGGGCTGGTGTGCCCATTTAGTCTTGAATACGTGGTTGAACTACTTATATTATTGCTTGTTTTATGGGCCTATCTAATCTTTGGCTGAAGGCTGAACCTCAGGAGTGACTTCAGTACTGAGTTAAAAGGGTGTCCGGTACCATACTCTCTTTTCTACATTTTTCTCCTGCTCTGCCTGGGACCCTGTATTGTGATCCCTGTCAGAGCAGTCGGTGGTGGTAGCTGGGCACCATCTAGTTGTATTGGACTCAGTCTGGTGGCAGCTGTGGTAGTTGTGGTCCATTAGTCCTTTGGACGAATCTTTCTCCTGTGTCTTTGGTTTTCTTCATTCTCCCTTGCTCCAGATGGGGCAGGACCAGTGGAGTATCTTAGATGGCCGCTCACAAGTTTTTTAAGACCCCAGACGCTACACTGTGAGTTGATTTTGACTCATGGTGACCCCATGTGTTACAAAGCAGAACTCAGCTCCATAGAGTTTTCTTGGCTATAATCTTTACAGAAGCAGATCACTAAGCCTTTCTTCCATGGAGCTGCTGGATGGGTTTGAACCACCAACCATTTGGTTAGTAGTCAAGTACAAACCATTTGTACCACCCAGGGACCTTTATCACTTCCCCACGTTTTGTGAGTTTTCTAGGAGTTTGGGTTGCATTAATAGTCAGAAATGAATCATATGTTTTTAAAACTTTGTGGAACAAGATGGAGAGAATTTAAGAGTGATGCTACTTTATCATATCTCATCTCAGATTTGAGCTTAATGTAGTGGTGCTTTGGAATGCTGGAGCGAATTTTGAAGACAGGCCAGTGGAGAAGTTTATTTGGCTTTTTAATAAGTCTACTCTAAAACCAACTTCCCAGCCTTTCCAAATTATTTATGCAGAAGAATCTAACCTTTCTCTCTCATCCCATAGATTTGAACATAACCTGCCGATATGCTGGTGTATTCCATGTGGAGAAAAATGGCCGCTACAGCATCTCGCGGACCGAGGCAGCTGACCTCTGCAAGGCTTTCAATAGCACACTGCCTACCCTGGCGCAGATGGAGAAAGCCCTGAGCGTTGGGTTTGAGACCTGCAGGTAAGAGGCCAGCACCTGCCCACTGGGTAAACCCACCTGCCCGAGGCCAGGGGCAGGGCTTACACCTCAGGAGGCTCCTCCCTGATAGTGAATGAATTGTTGCTTGGAGTCAGCCCCACCTATTAATTTGGCCAAGTTGATCTGGAACCTGTATGACAACTGAAATTTAAAGCTGGCTAAAGACACATTTGTGAATCATAGTTGGGGAGCCCAGAGGAGGCATTAAGGGTCGTCTGTTGGAATCCTCTTGCCTAAACTGCTTCCACAGCGCTCCTCTGGCTTTGAAGATGTGTGCAATATCATTGTCGGAACCACAAGAAAATGTACACCAAATAACAGGGTTTAAAATAAATATGTGGCTGGTAGTCTTGGCCCCACAGACTTGGCTCAGAGCAGATTTTTCAAACAACTCTCTCTCTCTCTCTTTTTTTGCTCTGTGTTGTTCTGGTTGGAGAGAGAAAGTAAAAGGCTTGAAAGTTATTAATACATTTTATAAAAAGTGATTGGAAAGGGTTGGAGGACCCTTCGAGGCCTTCTACCAGATATCAGAACTCTCCACAGAGAGGGACTCAAGCCATTTTGCTCCAGGATAATTACAACAGGCAGTGGCTTTATTTATGAATTGCCGATGGTTTTGTGGCCCGTGGCGCACAGTGAGCAGTGGCAATGACCTCGGTGAAGGGTTTTGGTTTGTTTTGTTTTCACTACAAGAGTTTAGGAGTCCCTGGGTGGTGCAAATGGTTAACCACTTGGCTGCTAACTGCAGGTTGGTGGTTCTAGTCTAGCCAGAGGTGCCTCAGAAGAAAGGTCTAGTGATTGACTTTCAAATAATCAGCCAAATCGAGCACAGTTCTACTCTGACACACTGGGGTGGCCAGGAGTCGACTCCACAGCAACTGGTTTATAAGAGATCTGAGTAATTTCAACAACTGCGGCCTGCAGGTGCCTCTTCTGCTTTTGCAATGTAATTAGGAAACGTGGTTCCCTTTTCTCTATAATGCACGCACATTCTCACGCACAGATGGTTTTTTAAAAGTCATGCTGCAGAACTCTTTATGGAAACCATTAAATGTAAGTTAAACACATCTACCACCCGTCCTTGGCTGCAGAGTAATACAATCACATTATGTGGGGGGTTGAGATTCTTTTGCTGAAGGGAAAAGGAGAATCTCTAAAATTGCACTGTCTAATACAGTAGCCACTGGACACATGTGGTTATTTACATTCAAATTAATTAAAATTAAATATAATTAAACTTCAATTATTCAGTGGCATGAACTGCATTCCAAGTGTTCAATTAGCCACAAGCTTCTAGTGGCTACTATATTGGACAATGCAAATTATAGACCATTTCCATTATCGCAGAAAGTTCTGTTGGGCAGCACTGCTCTGAAATAAAGAAAGTAGATGATTATGGGCATCTATACGTGTTCAGAGGAGCCCTGATCGTGCAGTGTTCAAGCCCTCGGCTGCTAACCAAAAGGTCAGCTGTTGAACCCACCAGCTGCTCCTTGGGAGAAACATGTAGCAGTCTGCTTCCTTAAAGATTACAGCCTAGGAAACCCTATGGGGCGGTTCTACTCTGTCCTGTACAATAGCTATGAGTCAGAATTGAATCGACAGCAACGGGTTTGGTTTGGTTTATATGTGCTCAGAGGAGCGCTGGTGGCACAATGGTTAAGTGCTCTGTTGCTCATTGAAAGGGTGGTGATTCGAACCCACCAGTCGCTCCATGGGAGAAAAGACCTGGTCATGTGCTCCCATAAAGATTGGGGAAGTCTATGGGACAGTTCTACCCTGTCCTATAGGGTGACATGAGTTGGAATAGACTCAATGGCACACGACAACAACAACAACATATGTGTTCGGAAGGTCCCTGGGTGATGCAAACAGTTTGCACTTGACTACCAACCTAAGGGTTGGAGGTTCGAACCCACCAAGTGGCACTGCGTAAGAAAGACCTGGAGATCTGCTTCCGTAAAGACTACAACCAAGAAAACCCTATGGCACAGTTCGGCTCTGTAGCACGTGGGGGTTGCCATGAGTCTGAATCAACTGGACAGCAATAGGTTTTTATATGTGTTCAGAGCTCAGTCTATGGGAATATACCAGAGCAGGGAAAGAGAGAGAGGTCTGGTAGCTACTGAACCTGGGCTGTAGGCTGTGATGAAGGAAGGTCAATTAGCACATCCATTTCTTCTATTCCCAAGGCTAATTATTTAAGTATGGCCCTGAGTATGCCACTAGCCTAAGAAAGTAGATTTAGTAAGCTAAAGTTTTGATTGTAAACTATAGACAAGACCTACTTGCAAAATACAGAAATGTTTTCATGTGCTAAGAACCACGGGCAGGTTCTTACAATTGCCACTGGCCAAACATTGAGCACTGAAGTCCTAGGAGCCCTGCTGCCCACTGATATCATCTCTCACGTAACCCTCAAACTGTGCTGAAGGTGAATATTAAACCCAAACCAAAACCAAACCCACTGCCGTCAAGTTGATTCTGATTCATAACGACCCTATAGCACAGAGCAGAACTGTCTCATAGGGTTTCCAAGGCTGTAAATCTTTGCAGAAGCAGACTGCCACATCTTTCATCCAAGGAGCGGCTGGGGTGTTCGAACTGCTGATGTTTTGGTTAGCAGCTGAACACTTTAACCACTGCACCACCAGGGATTCTTAACGTGGGTATTATTACCCCATTTTATGGATGAAGAAACTGAGGCTTAGAGCCATTCTGCAGCTTACCCTGGGCCATGTCACTTATAAGTGGAGGAGTCAGGAAGATCCTGCTTCTTCTGATCCCAGAACACAGATTTTAATGATCAAGCCATCCTGAAGAACGGAGAGCAAAAGTGAAATGGAAGTATTTGCTGAGTGTTCTTTCCTCCCTGTGAACAGGAAATTACTCGTGCCATATACTCACATATAAATTTTAGTATCTCCAACTCATTTATAGTGTGGCACATAAAACCTGCAGTTGATGTGATGTGGTAAAAATTCAATAAAACTTACAAAGGAAATGTATTAGACTCTAGAACGACAGTGTTATCCATACTTGTCAACATGATCAAGTGTGAGGAGGGGTGCATAGACTCACCAAGGATTATTATTACCCAAATGTGTGTGTGTATATATATATATATATATATATATATATATACACACACATACATATATATACACTGTGCCAAAGAAATCTATTGCTCCATCTGTAGCTAGTATTAAGTGTTGCAAAACTCATTTCCATAATTTCACTCCAGTAGCTATGAATCAGATGTCTGCCAGAGGACAGATGGCAGAGTCTCCCAGGCTAGGATAAAACCTTAGCAGCTATTCTTTTTTGTCTGCCCCACCCTGATTAGTAGCAATTCTCAGATATATGGAAACTTATTAACGTTTAATTGCATCCCCTTCCCCGTCACCAAGCTGAGGAAATTTCCGGGAAACCAGTCTGTCCATTCCAATGAGGAATTAGCCATGTGAGCTACAGCTGCAACATAGACATAATGAGTTCCATGTGCTTAGAGACTTCAAACTTAGGTATTCCCATGGGTCTTGTAGGCACTGCATTCTTGCCCCTGGCAGGAAGGATTAAAAGGATCTATGCTGTGCATTTTAGCCAGCATTACATTTTCAAAAACTTGCTGGATCTAGCTTCTCCTTCTCTGTCCTCCACCTGCCACCACCTCTTCCCTTACAAAGGGTATTTTCTCATCCCCCGTCTCATATTTTGAGACATTTTATATTCAGAAGAAATTGTGGAATAAGTATTTAGTGAGTATGTTGATGCAAAGAGGCTGAGATGTTGGACGTTGTGTCTGAAAAGGGCCTCCAGCTGTAGCATGCTCCCAGAAACTCCTTGGTGGGGTAGAGGGGTTTTAGTGTTTCTCTGGCTGTGCTGCTTCTGGAAAATCTCTGATTTAAGGAGGCTTTGCTACCTGCTTATACCAGTTGCCGTCAAGTTGATTCCAACCATGGTGACCCCAAGTGTGTCAGAATAGAACTGTTCCATAGGATTTTCAATGGTTGATTTTTTGGAAGTAGATCACCAGGTGTTTCTTTTAAAGCACCTCTGAGTGGACTCGAACCTCCAACATTTTGGTAAGCAGCTGAGCATTAACGGTTTGCACCACTCAGGGACTCTACTATCTGCTTACTTAACTGCTATTACTCCCATTATGACAGCCAATGTATTTCCACTGGCAAAAGAATTATGCCTGGGATGCTCATGAGGCTAAACGTGCTGTATACTTGGCATATAAGCAAGGCTTCATCTTTGGGATAATGGAGCATGGAGTAAGGAAATAGAAGGAAAAGGGGAGGCCAGACAAGAAGAGTGGGGGTGTGGAAGACATGGCAGTTGAAAGCACTCCAAGGCTTACCTTGCCTCTACCCCGAGTTTGAAATTTGTGGACTGAAGTGAAGAGCCACTTATTTCCTATCTTATGGAAGCTGGTCGAAAAATGTACTTTCTAGAAAATGTGAAGGCAATCTAGAGCCAGAGTGGCTCTCACATCATAAAGTGGTCGTTCTCTCTCTTGTGCCCCGGGGGTTCCCTCCACTCATTCAAACCTACTTCATACCACTGACCACAAGTTTTATATGAAGCCGATTTTTTCTTTCATGAATCTTTTCTATGAAAAAAGAAGAAATCTCTTCCCAGGTCTCTAAATAAAATCACCTTGTCATTATGTCAGCTTTGTTGATCTCTTTCCCTCTGTCTCTCTGCTGTTATTTTTGGATTTCACATAGCTCAATTATTGAAACCTCTAACATCCCTAGGGGTGAATTGAGTGAAGTGTTGCACTGCCTTAAATGTCATTTCATGGGTATTATGAAATTCCAGTGACAGCTTTGCGGGTTGGTAACCTCTTGTTTTTTCTTTGGCAGGTACGGGTTCATAGAAGGGCACGTGGTGATCCCCCGGATCGTCCCTGTCTCCATCTGTGCCGCCAACAACACAGGGGTGTACATCCTCACATCCAACACCTCCCAGTATGACACATATTGCTTCAATGCTTCAGGTTGGTTCCAAGTGGATTGCCTTTGTTTTTTGGGGTGGCTTTTTGCAACCCTTTAGCAGCATGACTGAGAATGGTTTTATCTCAGATCTTGAGTAGCTTCTGCTGTATAACAAATATTCACTGAAAATCTCTACAGCAGAGACAAGATTCCTTCCTACATCGTGCTTCTGTGCAAGGCTGCGGAGTCAAACAATAAATACCTTGTGTGAAGTCAGAGAGTGAATGATACTTGGCCGGGGGGGAAGGACGGGGAAGGGGGGGTCATTGTTTAGGTATCATCAAGTTTTTGTTTATGGAGATGGAAAATCTGGCAAAGAATATTAGTGATGGTTATTTTGATGTCGTTGGTTTTATTGAATTGTACATGTGAAAAATGTTGAAAGGGCAAATGTTGTCAATATTTTTACAATAAAAAAAGGCAAATGCAAAACAAAACAAAGTTTGGCTAGCACAAAAAATCAGAATAAAGAAAGTAGAGTAAGCAGCTAAAGAGTGCTGGGGATGCTGTTTTAGAGAAGGTGGTCAAGGAAAGCACTGTAGAGGAAAGCCTTCAAGAGAGCCCTGACTGAAGTGAAGGAGTGAGCCCATGGGCAGAGTGGGCAGCCAGTGCAAAGCTGGGCAAGTGGGAGCATCTTGGCTTGTTCCTAGAACAGCCGGGAGGCCAGAGTGGCTGAAGCATGGTGACCGGAGGGGAGAATGCCAAGTAATAAGGTCAGAGAGGTAAGCAGGAGCCAGATCACATAGGGCCTTGTAGACCATGGTAAAGAGTTTGGATTCAGTTCTCAGTGTGATAGGAAGTCACTTCAGGGTTTTGAATAGGGGAGTGACATGAATCTAATGATAGCATTTGATGTAAGCCAAATGGCTCAGTTGAGAGGTATTTAGTATATAGGCTGGGAGAATATACAGTAGGCTCTTAACCTTCTTGAATGTTCCTTATCCAACTATTACAGAGCCCAGAAACTGGAGAATAAGAAAACCAAGTTAAAATGTGGACTGTGGGCAGCTGGCCAGGCTCCCTTCTGTCTGTGGGACTTGCTTTCAGTCACTAGCCTAGAAGCACACGCTTACAATTCAGATTCAGGCACCAGCAAAATTAAAGAACTCTCTATATCATGACTCTCCAGCATCTTTTAAGAAGCGTCAAAACCATAAATGTCAGATTTTTGAAAGTCAACAGTCAAGCGTCTTACTTCTCAAACTGGGCCTTCTATTTCCCCTGAAGGTTTGAGATTGTGAAGGAGAAGACGAAGCCACAAGATAAACTTGGCACACCTTCTTAGAGGGTCAATCTTCCTTGCAGATGGGAGGGAACATTAAATTAGCTGCAAAATGACTTAAGACATCATTTGTACAACACAAACACAGATGTTATATATGGTAGTGGAATATAAAATTTGCACAGATTTTTAAGTAAAAAAGGGACATCAAAGAAATTGAGATGACATCAGAGGCTTTAGGCTACACCACTCACCCATTGTTGGGTGAGCAATGGGGATCAGAGTGGGAATTCAGAGAGGGAAATCTAGAGTTTAGGAGAAAGGGAAATTAGCAAGGCTAATTAGTTGAAGTGTGTGAAGCCAGTAAATTATGACAAATATATATACAGGTCACCAAACTTATGGAGGATGTCTTAGTCACCTAGTGTGCTATAAGAGAAATGCCACAAGTGGATGGCTTTAACAAAGAGAAGTTTATTCTCTCACAGTCTAGTAGGCTACAAGTCCAAATTCAGGGCTCAGCTTCAAGGGAAGTCTTTCTCTCTCTGTAGGCTCTGGAGGAAGGTCCTTGTGATACATCAGTCTTCCCTTGGTCTGGGAGCATCTCAGCATAGGAACCTCAGGTCCAAAGGATGTGCTTTGCTCCTGGCACTGCTTTCTTGGTGGTATGAGGTTCCCATGTGTCTCTGCTCACTTTTCTCTTTTATATCTCCGAAGAGATTGGCTTAAGACACTATCCAATCTTGTATACCTCATCAGTATAACTGCCACTAATCCATTTTATTACATCAGAGTGATAGTTTACAACACGTAAGGAAATCACATCAGATTACAGAATGGTACACGACCATACAGTACTGGGAATCATAACCCAGCCAAGTTGATACACACATTTTTGGGGGAGACATAATTCAATCTATGACAGAGGAGATACACAAAACAAGGAAGAGGGAACTGTAGAATGTTTACTTCTCCCTGTTAGATGAGCAAAGAACACAAGTGGAGTTTGACCAAAAGGAGGAGAGAATCCAACTGAGGCCAAGTGGTATACGGCTCAGACCCAGTTCCTCATTCTAAACACATTGTAATGAGATAAACTACATGCAAATAAAGTAAAGAGGACATAGACACAGAGCAATGCGGGTCTAGGTAGCTCCACCTTGGTGCAAAAGATCAGGGGAAAATTTTGGGAAGACTGTGCTTTAGATAAAGGGATCAGTCACGTGGGAAAGGGCTAGCGTGAGACTGCAGACCCCTAAGAATCTCTGTGCACTGCTTGTTGTTTCTCCCATTGAATCTTGTCAAATGAGTGTATGCAATAAATTATACGGTTAAGTATTTACATTGTCTCACCTGTTTTACAGGTTAGTATCACTTCCCAGAAAGAACCTTAACTCAAAAAGTAGAAGCTCACACTGTTTTATTGCCTGGAATTGAAGTCATCTAGGCAGGCTGCTACTGAGATGTTCCTCCCTCTTCTTATCTTTGGCCAAGAGGTTGGACTTATCCAAGGAGCAAAGAGTCAACAGTATTTATTACTTTTCCTCTATTTTTGGAGACAGAAGAACTAGCTCAGTGGAAAACTGAGAATTACTGGGGGTGTGTCCCATTCCACCCAGAGGTGCCTTGGAAGACGGGCCTGGAGACCTACTTGCAAAAAATCAGCCATTGAAAACCCTATGGGGCACAGTTCTACTCTGACACACATGGGGTCACCATGAGTTGGAATCAACTCGATGGCAATTTTTTTTTTATTGTATACCAAAATGAACTAAGGTAGTGAAGTTAGGAGTAATATTTTTCTTTTTCTCTATTTCTCATGTAGTTACTCAAAGTGGATAGGCTTATTTTATAACTAATTTAAGTTTTAAAAAGAGTATTCATTGATCAACTGTATGTTCTCAGTACCATGGTAAACACAGTTGGGTAAGGAAAGAACCAAGGGCTATATTTCTTGTCTCGAAGGCATTTACGATCTTGTTGAAGCAATGAGACAAAAAACACATGAAGCAAGGGGAGAAGAGTATACGTCCCAGGATAAATAAATTCTGAATGTCTTGACTTAGAGGCAGATGATAGGGGTGCTAAGTGAATTAAAGACCTTCATAACCTTTTGCTCCACGAAAAGGATCTCATTGCACAGACCTTGAACCTGATAACTTCAAACAGGTGGTCAGGTCCCAGTGGTGTGATCCCTACATAAACTAGCCACAGGTACCATGGCAGCTCAGTCTTAGCACATAGCTTGTGTAAGCTTAAAATTTCAGCAGTATTTTTGTGAAACATGGCATTCGATTTACAAATGGCAATAAGGCAAATCCTTGAAAAGGCTTCGCGATTTATATTGCTTTACCTCTCAGCCTTAAGGCCCAGCATGAGCCCAGTGACCTCTCTGTAAACAACACAGAGAACTGAGTTGAATCTGTTTATCTTTTAAGTTTGCTTTCAATGAAACACCTCATTCTCTCTCTCCCTTTTAATTGTATTTTTGTAAAAATACAAAGAACACAACATTTGCCCTTTCAACATTTTTCACATGTACATTCCAATAAACCAATTACAACAAACATGTTGTGCAACCATCACCTTTTTGAAGGTAAAATTTAGGAAGGGTTCTACATTCATTCCTTTATTGATTCCCTTAGTTATTCAACAAATGTTTATTGGATACCTAGAATGCATCAGGCATTGAGGAAGGTGCCTTTGTATATGGCGCTGAATGATTGGCCAGGCTGAATAATTAACGTTTCTGTTGGCTATTTTGGTGGGATGGAGCCAAGGTTTCTGAGAATGCAGACCACCAGACCTCAGAGTCTTTCTAACAATTCTTTGGATTCAGAAAAACCTAATCAGCCCTAATTCTCCCAGCAGTGCAGTGCTCATTAAATGGAATGAACGCCTGTCTAATGAGGCCCTGTTATCTGACACAGGACTGTGAGTGTATTAATTGCACATTTGGGTCACCATCCATCTTAGTATGCTTGCCAGATCTGATGTTCTTTAAAAAGGTGAAGGTGAATTGGAGCATGAAGGGGTCCTTTTGAACAAATGCTCTGATCATTTCGAAAACTGTCTTAGTTTTTTTGACATCGTGCCCCATTCTATTAAAACTTAATTCCTGGAGATTCTCAGTACACTACTGTTACTCGCAGTTATGTTTGAATTTGGGGGAGGTTTTTCCAATGAATAAAAAAACTGCCATATCTGTAACTTCCTTTATTTCTTATGGTATTGACATTCTTTATCTAAAACCTCCTTGAACCTGCTTATATTTGCAGAACACTTTGGAGGTTCACATCTTAGGTATGCTTACTGGAAGAACGGAGTCTTAGCCAATTAATTATATTAGTACTCTCTTTCCTCTTCATTCGTAAAGCAAGTGTTTGTTTAGTACTTCTCTATCCCTATCACACATAAATGTGCTGGACAGGACAGATAAGGTTACCCATCTTGTGGAGCTTACATATTACTATGCCGGGTTGCGGGGAGCCGTGTAGTAGAGAGTAGGAGTTGGGAGATGTGCCATTAATGCCATCAAGTAAAACGAACCGGATAATTTTAGATATCTTGAGTGTGAAGTATGGAGAAGAAATGACAGCAGGGTGATATGTGATGGTGATGGGTGTGAGGGAAGTGATGAGGGACTCTTTTGGATTAGATGGTGGGGAATGGCCTTACCAGAGGTGACCGTTCTTCGAAGAGTTGCCCTTCTGAGAAATCTTTTAGATCACCCTTTGCAAGAAAGGCTTTTCCTAAAGCCTGCTTGTCTCCAGTTGAATATGTAAAGCTGCCAGTTAGTTTCACTATGAGGCCAAAGAAATACGCAGGCAAGACATTCCCTTTATCTGTGGAAAGAGATACTCCCAGGGACCAGGAAGCAAATGAAACTGGTCTTGCTCTATTTGTTTTTTGCCCAGTGTTGTGAGTAGCCAACGATTTATGATGGGATGCTTAAAACACTTGTGACAACAGCCTTTCTTGTGATAGCAGTCTGCCTACCTACATCCACCAATCCATCCATCCCTTTTGTTCTTCTTTTTTGACAAGAAGCAACTCTGGGAGAAACCAACTTAACAACTAAATTGCCATTTTAAACTTAAACACACGTGCGCGGTGTGAAAGGTAACCACGCAAAAATGGATACCACCTTCGTATAACAGCAAAGCCAGTTTAAAGCTCTTTGAGTTTTTAGAGCATAACACAAAGTTTAGTGACTGCATGGAACATTTTGGCATGAATGGAATTGTTGATTAAGATACTCTGAAGTTTTCTTTTAGGATCCCAAGGGATGGCATGCAGAGTGGAACTTTCAGGGCCTATTTTCAGAGGCCTTCAAACAGGGCTGCTCAGAGGATTTGCAGCAATGTAGTCTCAGGAGATTTTCTGGGTGCCTAGACCAAAGGTGGCCAACCTCAGAACTGAGAAAAAATTGGTACAGAGTAGGCACTTAAAAAGATTAGTTAAATAAATAAGTTAATTCATTAATTAAAAAAACTAAAAATTAATTTGTTTTTAAATATTTCTATCAAGTAAATTCTTTGTTGATTATTTTATTTTAATCCTCAGATTGTCATGCCATTCATCTTGATAAACATTTGACTGGGTGTGTCTGCCATGTTTTTCCATGGTTTCTGGGGTTACAAATGATTTTCTCATTATAGTTTATACATATCTGTATTTCTCTATTTTTACAATGTTCTCACATTAATTTTATAATAATAAATTTTTTAAATCCTTTCTAATGTAAGGTTCATTAGAGAAGGATCATGTTTATCTTATTCACCATTATACCTCAACCTTCCACAGTACCTGCTATATAATATATATAGTTGTTAAGAGTGAATTTGTTGAGGCAGGCAGGGAAACAAGGAAGTTTCTAGAAATTTATGAAGCTAAATAAAAATGGGAAATGTATCACAAAGGTCATAGAAGTTCTTAACACATCATCAAATTTCAGAAAAAGAAGCGTATTTGGGACAAGTTGTAATAAAACTCCATCCTAATTAACTAATAGAAGTGGGGATAGATTTTGCTTTTATTTTTTAGAATTCTGACGCCTTTTTTTTTCCTACCCCATAGCTCCAGCAGACAAAGAAGACTGCACATCAGTCACAGACCTGCCCAATACCTTTGAAGGACCAATTACCATAAGTAAGTATCTCTTCTAATCTTCCTTGAGTTTTCCCATTCTTGGGAAAGGACCAGGTGCATTTGCTGTGTTTTATGTTTTAATAGAATAGCAGTCTTTCTCTAAGGCTAGAGATTGTTAGTTGTGATTCAATATGTGTTTCTCTTCCTCTGCTATGGATTGAAACTGCTGTCTGGTTTACCCTAATACATTGTTCCTCAAATTTCAGTCATTTGAAAACCATTTTCACCATTTTTTTTTTGTATCCATGTGCACAGCACTATCATTTACTTGATATTTTCTTTTAGTTGGCCAATTCTTTTCTACTCTAAATACATTTATCTTACCTCGAGAGTATAGCCCCCAGACTCCTTCTAGCTCAGTGGTGAAGTCAGTTCCGAGGTTCACCTTTCAGCCAGGGATTGGACAGCCCCATATAACAAAAAGGGACTAATGAGGCACAGCAGTCCCGGGACAAGGACTAGAAGGCAAAAGGGGTCAGGAAAGCTGGTGATAGGGAACCCAAGGTTGAGTAAGGACAGTGTTGACATGTAGTGGGGTTGTTAACCATTGTCATAAAACAATATGTGTACTGACAAAAAAAAAAAATTATCTTAAAAAAATGCAAATGGAAAGCCAACATCACTTGTCATAAATAGGAGGTAACCTTAAAAATAAATTTACATTAAATAATTTTCTTAAATCCTAGTTGCTGAGGTGTCTGAATCTAAGCCATGCTCTCTCTTACAGAGAGGGGATTAACAAGTGTTAGGGGTAGGAGCATTCTGCCCCCAAACAAAGATTTTCTGTTTGATATAACTGACGTGTTGCAAGGTAATTATGAAGGGTGTAAGTTTCCTTGTATGTGTTTACGCATTATTTATACCATGCTCACCTAAAGTCATCTGGGTTATCTACAGTAGTATGTGCTTGGTGCTTTGGAAAGCAGAAAATCCCAACCAGAACCTTAAAGCATACACCTACTAATCCTGATCTCACTGCCTCTGAGTCCATTTCTCTGAGAAGTGCCACAATGTTGAGGAGGTCTGATTTCTGCCAGTGAGTTAAACCTGTTAGGTGCGGTTACACGTATCTGTGCTTGTAGTAGAAAGGAAAGGAGAATCTTCCTGGACCACACAAATTCAGGCCCCCACTGTTACAGAAGGTATTGTCCCTGTCTGTGGCATGCAATAGGAAGGGGAAGCCTCATACCACAGTGGCTACCATGTGAAATGGGCTATCTCATGCAGGCATGATATGAAATTCTATTTACTTACCACCTGAGTGATCTCAGAGGAATGTCTTAATCTTTTTGAGCCTCAGTTTTCTCATATGTTTAGTGAGACAACATATGAGAATGGTTAGGAAAACTAAGAGAGATAATATGTCTAATGCATGCCTGACCCGGAGTTGTTCCTGTTGTTGGTTGCCATCGAGTTGGCTCCCCCTCATATATAACAGATCTTCTGTATAACAGAACAAAGCATTGCCCAGTCCTTCGCCATCCTCACAATCATTCCTATGCTTGGCTCAGCCCGTTGTTTCAGCCTCATTTTTGCTGACCCTCCACTTTACCATACATGATATCCTCTTCTAGAGACTGATCTTTCCTGATAACATGTCCAAAGTAAGCAAGACAAAGTTTCACCCAGAGTAGATACTCAATAAATGTCCCATTTCCTTGGTCCCCACAGATCTCATTAAAAGCCCGGACCCATATGAGTTTGGTCAATAATATTTCCTTATCTGGTCTTCATCTGAAAGATTATCAAGATGATTGAGACTTTGGAATTTTTATTTATTTGCATTTATGTTTTATTAATCATTCCATTTGGGAAAGCTAGATAGGTGGACAAAAGGAATCTTTGGTCCCACCAATGCAATATGGCAGAAAATAATTTCGGCTAAACGAACACTTGTAGAGTGAGTGGCTTAAGACCTGAAGGCAGCAAATCCTTTCTGGGAGAAGCAATGAACAAATTCATCCTTGCTTTTCCTCCTCCTCTCCACCTTAGTCATTTGCTTGTTCAAACCAAAGCTTTTGATCTTCTTTATATACATTCAATTTCAAGGTTGAATTTCACAGAGGATGGCAGAGGCTCTGCCAGTATTTACACATGCTGATTTCCTAGCGAGGCACGGGGGTTTGCTTAAACAGATGAAATTTGCCCCTTAGAAGGAAAACCCAGTTCTTCATGGATTTGCAAATATATCTTCCCTGTTGGGGCTAATATCCTCTTCAACTGCTGCTTCAAATCCTTTCTGGAATGAGATGGAATTAATAGCAACAAATGTTACGTGTACTTAAGAAGGGAGGGTAGGGAACCAGGTGGGAGAATTATCATTTATTGAATACTAGGCTGAACACTTTACACACAATGTATCATATAATGCTTAAAACAACCCCATTCAGAAAGTATTATTATCCCCATTTTATAAACGAGGGAAGGAGCCCAGAGAGTTATCTTGTTTAGAATCGCACAGCTAGTAAATGGCGGAGCTGGGATACAAACTTGGGGACTCTCAAATACATCCTCTTTTCCCCTTCCTGGACCAATGCCAGGAGGGTACATTCCCTTAATGCACCAGTTACTCTATCCCACCACGAGATAGGTATCTAGGTGTTATTTTTCTTAGCAAAAAGAAGATAGAATTGAAGTTACTCTTATGTGACAAGGAGCCTGATGGTGCAGTGGTTAAAGCAATCGACCGCTAACCGAAAGGTCAGCGGTTTGAAACCAACAGCATCTCTGTGGGAGAAAAGATGTGGCAGTCTGCTTCCGTAGAGATTACAGCCTTGGAAACCCTATGAGGTCACTATGGGTTGGAATCGACTCGATGGCAATGGGTTCTCTTATGTGATAATCCTCAGTCTTTCCTGTACTAAGAAAACGTCAGCTTTGAAGTTCTGAAAGTTCCTTCTCTTTCTCTCAGCTATTGTTAACCGTGATGGCACCCGCTACTCCAAGAAAGGAGAATACAGAACCAACCCTGAAGACATCAATCCCAGCAACCCTACAGACGATGACGTGAGCAGTGGTTCATCCAGTGAGCGAACCACTTCAGGAGGGTACAACATCTTCCATACCCACCTTCCAACTGCAGACCCGACTAAAGACCAAGCCAGTCCTTGGGTCACAGACGACACAGGGGACACACCAGCTACCAGTAAGGAAAATGAACCACTCTGCTTTCTCCAATAGCCGTTCGTCTGTAAACTGTTTCTGACCTTCTTGAGTGATAGGTGCTCATATGCTGATTTTCTCCTGTCTCTAGATACAGGTGACATCATTTGGGGAGGTGGGCTATTTGGTTATAGTGCTCTGGATGCTACTGCCTACAATTTTGTTTTTTCCTGTGTAAAAGTCCATTTTTCTGACCTTGGGACAAAAAGTGTCATGTTGGAAGTTTATAGAAGAGTTTCCTTTTTTCTCTTGTCCCTAGAGATACGGTGGCAATCCAAGCCTGATACAGAAGTTATTTCTATTTGTTTATTTCCTCCATGTTCTTATCTACCCGTGGATAAGATTGTTTTCATAAAGTTGGAATCATAGGACATACATGCCATTCCATCTGCTACTTTTTTCACTTAACTTTGTATTTTCATCTAATTTATACTCATGTTATCAATTGTATAACATTCAGTGGTACTCACGAGTCATGATTTACCAAACACTTCTTTTGTTTTTGGTTCAAGTAAGCATATTTGGGGGACTTATCGGGTGAAATTAAATCAGCTTAAGAGTTCTATATTCCAACCTGTTGGGGAAAGCTCCTAATACTCCTTGGGTTTGTGTGGGTTATTCATTCCTTGGAGCTACAAGAGGGGAGCTCTGTAAACATCGCGTTACACTGTGGGTTTTGCCCCTTGTGCTTCGGTTTCCTTGGCAAGTGTTTACATTTCCATCTTGTCTCCTTCTTCTCCTCCCTCTTTTCTTTTTCCCTGTGGCTTATTTTGAAACAGGTTTCCAGATTGGCCACGTTCCTTCTGTGGAGGATTTTTCAAACTCAAACGGGCATCTGCGTCTTGAGCTGCTTTCCTAGTATGGTCCGAATTTTCTCTTTTCCTGGCTATGGTTCTTGAGGGGTGGAACTCTGGCCCTCCAAACCTTGTGGCAGAAATTTACTGGTTTGTGAGTGCTCGCAATGGGGCCCTTTTCTATCCTTATATCACCCAGAAGCCAGGGAAACCTCAAGAGCACTAAGTTTTTAAGTTTCCTTGCTCAACATGTTTTAACTTTCTGTTAGCAGCTTGCTGAGGGCATGATACAAAGAGGCCTGGGGTTACACTCTTTCCCTGCTGATTCCCTGAAGCATTTCAAAAAGCAGATCTTTTCACACTGCCCATGTCTTCTAGGATTATTGGCTGTCTGGACATTGTGTCACCTCACTGGTTGCAGAAGCTTCTGCAAACCCACAAGGCAGTGCTGTAGGCTACTCGCTGCTTTTTGGATTCCTGGCCCTTCTGAAGCAGCCACGTTGAATGAGCTTATTGTTAGAACATGCAATTTTGGCAGATGATGGCAAACATGACAGTTGGTGGTCTCACCATGAAGCAGAGCAGATCTACTCTTAAAGTACCATTTCCCACCAAAGTAGACAATCTTGACAAAATACATCTTGTGGGGACTAGATGAAGTTAACATTCAAACAGCTGATAGCCTATGTAAAATAGTATTTCCACGTACTTTAGAAAAGGCAATTAATGCATTATATCAACAGTCATAGCACATCTTTTAGGGACTGTGCCTTTCCTGCCTAAGTTAGTCAACAAATACATTTTGAGGATCTACTATGTACCAGGCCTATCCTCGATGTTGAGGATTCAGTGGAAAACACCATTAAGAAGTAATATAGAAGAGAAATAAAAATTAGTAAGATATTCATTCATTCAACAATGTCTGTGCTAGACACTACTCTAGTTGCTGGAGAGTCTAGTTACTAGACAGTACTTATCAAGACCTACCCTCATGGAGCCTGTATACTAGTTCAGAAATCAAGGAGAGGGAGTGCCGTGAGACTTACCTAGAACATGGTTCAGGATTTGGATTGAGAAAAGAGCTGTACTTTTCTTCTTCCAGAACACTTAGCTAAGTTCCTGTAAGTAATTAAGGAAGAGAGAGACTAATTTGCCATCAGGGATGTGTCCATGGTTAACCTGATAGTCATTGAAGTGCTGTAGGATCCAATAAGGCCAATGGCAGCTCCAGATAGATCAATCCATGCCAAGAAGGGTGTTAAAGAAAATCACCAGGTGGAAACTTAGAAGTATTATATAGCATACTATAAAAAGTTAGCATTGATAAGTTCCTGAATAAACCCTGTATTCTAAGCCCACAGCCTCCTGACTGTTGGGCTTTGAGTTGGGTCTTAGTAAGAGAGAGTGACTGCAAAGCCTCCCTAGCGCATGCAGGAGAGCAGAGGTCAGGAGGAGAGCTGGCTGAGAACAGAGAGTTCTGCCTTTAGCTTGGCTGCCTCATTCCTTCCTTAAGGGTCCTTAGTGGGTGGCAACAGGGAAAGCCAATAAGAACAACCATCTGGATAGGTTTTAACCTCCAGTGGGCTTTTTATTATAAGTGTTATTCTTGGAAAAGCCATCTTGGAGACAGTGATCAGCCTCTTTCCTATTGGTGATCTGGAACTGTCTGGAATCAGAAACCTTAACTAATTCAGGAGGCTGACTCCTGCCTTGAAATGCTCTATTTTCTTGTCTTCTGGGTGTCAAAAGAATTTTTTTTCTTGGTCTGACGGGGCCTACTTGGGTGGGGAAAATTGGCAATTCTGCTAGCTAAGGTAGATTTTTCCATTTTTCCCTCTCACACAACTCCTTTCAGAAAGGCAGAAATATTGCCTGTTTCTATCTTGTGTTTATTTTCTGTTGGTCTCTTCCTGGTATACTATAGGGTGAGGGTGACAGAAACTTTGTATCTTTAATAAAGTTTCTGAAGTGAGAAGGGGGTGTCTGTGGATTTTCCAGAAGGATGCTCCGGTTGCACTGGGGGCATCATTGGTGAAATTGGCTCCTATCTCTCTATTCTGAGCTAATGTGTTCCTTATAGCATAGAACATATTATGCAGGTTGTTGATGTATAGAGTCAATCTGGGATTGAAAACCTGGGGTTCATGGAGTCTCAGGAATTTCAACGACAGGACATAAGGTATCCAAGAACCACCTGAAGTTATATGCAATATTCTGAGAGTGTGTATGTGTAGTATCACTTTTTTGATGAGAGAGGCCATAACTTATATCAGGTTTTCAAAGGAATGTATGACTCAAAATGCATTTTCAAAATCCCAACTGGTTCAGATATTTATCTTGATGATTTTTGTCATTCTGCTCCAATAGGAAAACTTTCTTGACTCAAGTCCAACTTGAGAGTCAGATGAGAGGTTATAAATTATAAAATTTTATTGATTATCCTTTCTATAATTTGATTAGAGGGTCTAGAGTTTCTCTGACTTGGCAGTTTTGTTTCTCTCCTGATAACACATTCTGAATTAGAATCAAAAGCAACAGGAAGTGGTAGATGGACATTCAAGAAAACTTTATCTTAATTCGACACTCGACACATACCCTTTGAAAAGTCCCTGCTCAAATATAAAGCTTGAATTGAGATTGATTGGCATGGGTGGAGCTTTGATATGACGGTTGTCATCACAAGCTACCTGGTACAATGATGGACAGACCATAAAGATACAGGCAAACACCCCCAATGATACTGTAAGGATAAATGAAGGAAAGCAACTTTACAAAATGCTACATCGAGGACTTTCAGTTGATTGCTGGGTCATCAAATGAAGTAGATAGAAAATCTCTTCCATCATAGGTTGAAGTTGCTGGTTGGTTTTGCTCTGAGCATGTATTCAGAGGGCTCACTTTGAAAAATTAGTAGCATTGAGTTGATATCCATACAGAATTTGCATTTCTGGTGTTGCCCTAAGATTCTAGGAGACTTTAGAAGGCTGGAAAGTAAAACCAGGCTTCAACTTCTTTTCTAATCTTCATTCTGGAATAGATACAGATATTATATATAGACAGAACTGAGAGTAAAGGTTTTGCAGAAGGATTTCACTAAATGATATTTTCATAATTGATCCAGTTACCTCAACTCTGCACTCAAACAACCACGCAGCAGCTCAGGAACAGAACGGTTGGCTGTGGTCCTGGTTTGGTAATTCACAGCCTAAGACTCAGGATGTCACAACAGCAGCAACCACAGGTAAATTGTTACAACTTTTGCTTGTTAGTCATCCTGAATGGCAGACCGTTCAGTGTGAAGGAAGAGGGCACTCATCGTCCTGAAGTTGCCTACTGATGTTGCTTCACCATCCTTAGTGAGAGCAGGGTTGGGTACTGTTTCATTTATCAGAGAGGCCTATGTGTCTGGGGATATGAACGTACACTCCTAACTATCCTGCTTGTTTTCCTTTTGGCAACATGAGTATAGAATCAGAATGATTTTTCCTTCAGAGTCTTTGACTATGAGATTCATTCAAAACATGTCTTCTAGAAAGAAGTCTATTAGAAAATGCATACTCCTGCTTTCTGTTGATCTAATTATCAAAGTTAACATAATAAAAAGGAATGCTGATCTATGAATGAGAAGTGTAGGCCCTGGACACTGGTTTGTACACCTAAAACTTCAACTGTCAAGTGTAGGAGATAACCTGCTGCTTGGTGTTAGCATCTAGGCCTCTAACAAGCTCCCAGGATGTTTGACTATTAGTTCTAAATCCCTGCGAAGTATTTTAACTTGGGAGATTTTGAGGGACAAAAGATTCACAGTCTATAACAATGGAGATTACAAGTATAACTTCACTTATTGACTTTTGTTGAGTGAGGATATGACCATATTTTAAAACAATTATGCATTCTTTCTGCAGAAGGAGAGCAGTAATAATGGTCCATTACATGTGCTTATCTTACAAGATGTTGAATAAAATAAACCTGTTATTTCTACAAGTAGTCTTATAAGGAAAATAGTGCTGATGTTATGGTTGCCATATTGTAAAGATTAAGATAATGCTGGAGAGAGAGAGGGAGAGGAGACAAGAGGGAGAATGATGTAGAATAAAGGTTATGATGATGTATTTTTAAATGTTTGCATTGTTTATAGAACAAATGGTGTAGAGGAAAATGTCTTCCTGGCGGTGTTTCATCTTGGGTAATTTCTGGGCTCTCTTGATAAGAAATCTATCTTGTTAAAATAAACCTAAACTTACTTTTGTATTTTGGGGTTTAATGATGGTTTCGGCCTACTCTTATCTGATATTCTCCTGACGTACATCATGAATGCAAAAATGACAGTCTTTGGAAGTTTCAAATTCTGATTTCATGTCCAATTCTCTTGCTTTTGGTCTTATTAGTGGGACCCTTGGATTGCTTCATCTCTGTCTTTTCTGATTGATTATCCTACTTGAAAAAAAATGAACTCAAAATGCCCTGTTCTGCTTCGCAAAATATAGTGTTGATATAAAAAACGACCACGGGTAAGGTGGGTAAGGTTGGAACTCTAAATTGAGAAAAATAGAGAGGCATCTTTTGTAAGTCTTCTACTCTATGTGTCATTCTTCATCTGTGTGTGGGTTTGCTGGGAGTGTGTATTGGGAACTGCTGGCAGAAATATCATATCCTAAGTTATAGGAGAATGATATTGGTTGGCCAAGAGAGATTGTGTAGAAGACCAAGGAGCTAGGATTCTGAAGAGCTGGGTTTTAGAATCATAGAATCTCAGATTTGTAGAGGATTTTAAATGGTCTGGTTCAATCAAACCTTCTGATTATTTAATACAACTTTACTTCCATGTGATTATCCAGTCTCTGCTCGGTGGTGGAAAAATAATACTTTATTAAGAAACGCATCACTGGATGGTTCATATTATTACTTTTTAAATCCAGTATTTGGAAGAATACCTATCTCCCTCAAATTCTCCCCTCATGGGTCCTACATTGGCCTCTTAGGAACACAGACCAAAAAATAATCCCTCTTTTATTTTATAGCCTTTTTAAAATCCAAAGACAGCTCTCATTCCCTCCTTGGGACCTTTCTGCTGCTAATTAGCCTTCTGACTTCAGACAAGTCAGAAGGTTTATCCAACACAAATTTTCATCTTTAAATGATGAGCATGAACCAGAAGATATTTGAAGTCCTTCCGTCTCTGACATTCTATGAACTCCAGATTTGGCCGCTGGAAAAAGAAAAAAAAGATACTTCTTTGCTTTTTCTCTTTCTTTCCACCATCTATATCAAGTATAGATAATTCTCTTGAGTAGTAAAAGTCTAAGAGTATATACACCGCTATTCCTTAGGAACTGATAATTAACCTTTCAATCATCAATTCAATCATGGTTGCACAGCTTTGACCAGCACTACTGGTACAACTCCTGAAACAATAACCAAGAGGGAAGAAGTGAAGGACTGGTTTTCACAGTGGTTTCAACCATCACATTCCAAGAATCATCTCCACACAACAACAAAAATGGCTGGTAATGGGTTATGAATATCTCCCTTCATATGGTTTCTGGACAGTCTTCAATAAATCTCATTGACCTCTGGGGATATCATCAAAGTCTAAAGTCCATTCTGGTCTCACAAGTTGATGTGATGATTTTAGAAGGACATGAGCTTTGAGATCTGGATGTTTGGTTTTATAGTATTAATAAGTAGGTTTCTTCTTTCTATTCTATAGAATTAATATAGCTTAGGAGGAGGCTAATATGGAACCTGTGAAAAGAGGCAGATCTTTCTTGATGACAGAACAAAATTTTAACTCTAAAAGATAGTTCATATGTCTTCTAAAGTAATCTAAGTCATAAAAAGTTCTGGACTTTTCATGAGAAAGTGAACAAAATCTAGAAAATTTCCATCAATGGAACTATTATTGGAGTAGACACTAATAGTATTAAAAGCCAAAAGACAGCCTGAATCCCACTCAAAATGTAGGAAACCTCTTTTCAGTAAAGACTTCTACAATAATCATTGAGAAGAGGTGGAGGATTTCCGTCTACTTTTCTATGACTGCATCCAAAAGGAAAACATGGGAATTTCTCAAAACATCAACTACAGTTTACTGTAGTCAATGCTTGTGGTTGACTAATAAATGCCAGGAATGATTTCCCTATTAATTGACTACCCTTTTTTTTCTATGCTAAAGTATTGTTGGGAACTCCAATATAGCTTTCGTTTATACTCGGAGTTACAATAATCTGATACTAGAGAGGTTCAGTAAATGAATTAGCATATTGTATATACAACTCTGAGATTTAAAAAATGATCGACATAGGTTTAAAGTCCAAGTTTTTTCTGAAGGTGACTTGCCAAACAAGCACATTTGAAAACTTTGCACTCAATTCTTGTCTTCCTAGCTACAATGACATATGTTTAATGAGTTAATAATAAATACATATGAAACCAGGGGGGAATTTCCATTGGCTTTTGCTTTTCTTCTTTGGTGGGGTTATGTCCATATTTATTCTTTTAGATTCTTTAAAGAGAATGTTCAGTTACAGAGATCTTTTTAAATCCATATATCAGCTCCAGAGAACAGGACATAGGAGTTTGGGGTCTTCAAGTCAACTGTCTCTCTTTTTATAACCTTGAACATTCCGTTATACCTTCTGTACCTGATTTTTTCTTTTGTCAAATGGGTTGTTTGGCATCCAACTCAGCCACTAACGCAAGTCACCACAACAGGTACGGATTCAAATACCATGTCAGCAGGCTGGGACCCAAATGAAGAAAATGAAGATGAAACAGGCAAACCCCCCAGTTATTCTGGATCAGGAATTGATGATGATGAGGATTTTATCTCCAGAACCAGTAAGAAAAATCAATTACAGTCAAACCATTTGTGCAAGGCTTACTGATTAATCTGGTTCATACTCAATAGGTATCTATCTTTGGAAATAGTTAATGTGAAAAATGAATGTGGTCTTATATTTTGATGAGGTTATGGAGGAAGAAATAGAATTATTTGGATGGAAGCCAAAATATATTTGGAGGGGAAATGGAAAAAATATCTTTTATAAAATCCCTAATGCCTCTTACTCTTCCTATTTCTTTACCTACGTGGTCTGCTGCTACAAATTGTCTTTTTTCTCCTGTAGTAAACTTTGAATTATCGAGCTTTGTCAGAGAATGACATTTTAAAACATTATAACAAAACATTCATTGTGTACCTACTGGTAACACAGAGCTGAAAAATGTCAGAGTCCTTGACCTCAAGGAGCTCACAGTCTATTGAAACAATAGATTTGGAGAAGGTGATTAAGAGAGTATTAATTACAAGGTGTAAGCCAAAAAACCCAACACATTGCTGTAGTCGATTCTGACTCATAGTGACCCTATAGGACAGAGTAGAAATGCCCCATAGAGTTTTCAAGGAGCAGCCGGTGGACTCTAACTGCTGACCTTCTGGTTAGCAGCTAAGCTCTTAACCACTGCACCACCAGGGCTCCAATTAAAACGTGTAGACAACCCTAAATTGAAGGCATAGAAGGCCTTGGAAAGGCTTACAGTATAGAAACAGAACTCAAGACCTGTCTGAGTTAATCAAACCCTCATGGAGGTCAAAGGAGCCCAGATTTTAACAGATGAATTGGACACCAATATAACATTGAAGGGAAGGACAAATAAAACCTGAGCTTAAAACAATGCCAATTTTTAAAAGCAAATAGTGACACCACTACATAATAGTATCAGAATTGTGATAATTATCATACTTTTTTTGAGAACAAAGGGATGGAAATTGAGCTGGAAAATGTCCTTTAAAAAAATTAAAACATGCAAAGCTTGTTCTATTATTCTGCCAGAGGTCTGAGTTTCCTATACATATCTGTAATGACTTAAGACTTTCCAACAGAGATGAGAATCCTGAACGTGATTCCATCACGGCTCTGCTTTTCCTTAGAGAAGGTGAGCCTTTGGATGTTACGTGAGCTCTCTCTGGTCATGGACCAGAATGCTATTATCTCAATGAAACCAGAGACTTTCTGGAGCATCCGTAAATGGATAACTCCCAAGGTTGGGAGAGATCCCAAAAATACAGCGTAGGCCTGGAAGGAATTTGAGTGTATGACACTGATACAGCAAATACTCCAGATGAACTAGTTATTTTATATCTAAACCTTTAAGTGGTGTATTCCTCAGACTGGACCCTCCACAGAGCTTAGTCTATGGGAAAAGGAAACTCTTTTCAGTAACTTCAGAAAGAAAAGCAAATGACCAAACCCACTGGATATTTACTGTTAGACTGTCTCCTGGGTTCAGGTGTATCTCTGCCTTCCAAGTGGGGCCATCAGTAAAGATGTGGTCTTTATAGCTAAGAAATTAAACTCCCATGGATGGCAACCCAAGTAAATCAACTTGAAAATAAGTTGTATAGTCTGACTCCAGGGGAAAACTTTGGTAATTTTTATCTCTGTGGCATAATTTCCAATTCTGGCTCACCTTTCCAATTGGCCCCTGTGCACATAATTCAGCAGGCTGCCTTTTTTCTTCTGGAGGGATATGATAATTGCCACTTTTTCATGCTTATTGAAAATATGGTTAATGATTCTGAGCAGGATTTTCTTAACTCATGAAATAGAACTGATAGTATTACTGTTTGGAAAAAGAGTTTTGTATTATTTGGGTACCAAAATAAAGTTTGAAAGAATTGGGGTGGGTTTGTCAATAACCTTTTAACAAAAGACATTGATTCTGATTTTGCCATGATCCTTCTGTCTGGTGCATCTCCTGTCCCAGCTCTAATATTTTGGGTGACAGTATCAGGGCACTGGTGGATGTATGCCTTTTTTTTTTCCCTTTTTGGTGTGCCGCTATGCTGGTGGTTGGTTACCTGTGCTCATTTTCTACTGAATGTATATGTCTTGTATTCTTTCATTGGTTATGGATGGTTTGCTCATGAAATGTTTGTGTTTGATAAATATTCATAAATGTATACCTTAATGATATGGCTGTTCTAAGTAGATGTTCTTTCTCAGAATCATCTATAGGAAAACTCTGGCTGCTCTGGGTGTTTTTCTCACAGCAAAATTACTAACAAAATAAAGTGACCATCACGGTGTAACTTTCAGCTATCTACCTCTTCAGTATGAGGAAGTATGAGGATCTACACGTAGCACCCTTGCCAGTGATGCAAATTCCTTGGGCTTTCAAGGATGGAGGCCCACTACAGACTGCATGGATGGGCAAAACTCTGATGTCTTTGCTTATCTTTGGTGGAGGGCTGGTGTTTGCAAAGTTGTTCTTCCTCATGCTACAGCTTCTTTGCCTGATTTCTCTGGAAGATCTCATGTTCTGAACACGGAAGTATTCTATGACAGAATGCAAAGGACATTGAGATGCTTAACAAGGTGGCTGAATTAAGCTGAAGACACTCTCTTCTTTCCCTCCATTTCCACTCAACCATCTATACAACCTCATATAGATGATTCATTCTATAGACTAAAGAAGGGGAAAATGTGCAAAACAAGTGGTGAAGGATCAAGAAATAAAATTTTTCTAATCGCTTCAATCATCATTATAACAGTTTCAACCATCACACCAGCTGTTGGTAACACAGGACTGAATGAGGATTGGAAATATTGGAGCCCACAATTTCCACATCAAGAATTAGAACTTCAGACACCTACAGAGATGACTGGTAATGGGTTATGCATACTTAATTAAATATTTTTTTTCCTCAAAGCCTATGATGCTGCAAAGGTCAGTCATCAGGACATAATGGGAATTTAGTTAATATCACAAATTCCTAGTGAGCTTTCATGTAGATACTCAATTCCACTTAGGAGACATTTATCAATCATATGGTCTAAGCACAAGGTATTTTATGCTGCTTCATTATAAAGATGGATACGTTAGAATGATTTAAGGTTCTGCCCTTGACAAAGTGGTTATAGCGGAATAACAAGTAATCATTGTACAACTCCATGTCCATTGGTTTTCTCTTGGGACACATTAGTGAAGTCACTCAAAATTATTGAGAATAGTAGAAGTACTATTTAGGCATAGAACTAGTAAATAGCATGTTCTTTAATGGAAGAACAGCAACATTGAATGTTGGTCAATAAAAAGTCACAGTGTATGTAACCATAATTGCAACAGATGTGGACAGAAGTGGCACCAGTGCTCATGGAGAAAACTGGACCCAGGAACCACAGCCTCCTCTCATTCACCGTGAGCATCATGACGATGAGGAGACCCAGCATTCTACCAGAACAAGTAAGAAGGATGGTGGTCAAGAGTTCTGGTTTAGACAAGCTTGTGAAGTCATCCCATAGAGTAGAGGAGATTTTGTGTAGACATTGGCTACATCTTTTACTTCCATTCAGCTGCCAAGACTACACACAATTTTTAAAAACTGGAAAGAAGATGTTAACTTGTCAGGTTGTCCAAAAGACCAAAATGTTTAAGAAATATATCTGGGATATGATTTTTGTGTGAAAGATTTCTTGAGGTTTCGTTTTGGTGATTTGTGTGTCTTTATGGAAATGTATGGTGAAGAGTGTGTTCTTTTGGTGTTTCTTATGAGATCTGGAAAGAGACTTTGCCAAGTGAAACATTCTTTGGAATCTTTATTTTCCATAAAGATCTTTGATGAATCCAGTTTCTTTTTCACATTGTGGTCCTCACTGCATTATATGAAGGCATTCCATGTACTCTTTAGAGAAAAGTGGGTGGCTCCAATGTTCTATATTTTAATTCTATAATGCTCTTTTCTGTCTTTAAACATTGGATAACTAGCAAAGGCTTTGATGCTCTTATTGTTATTTATACATATATGCAAATGTGTTGGGTTTTCTAAAACAATCTCAAGTCTCACCACTAGACTATGAGGATAGGACAAAAAAAGTAAGAAGTACGTACTCTTCTTTCATCTAGTTCTCTAATAGATGCCTATCTTATTCGGAGCAAAATAAGCTTTTATTTGGGGTAATAACTTGGAGCATTTTTACAACTGTGGTTCAACCATCATTTTCAGAGCTTTGGACACTCCTAAAAGAAAAATGTGAAAAATGGCCACTTAGAAGTCAAAGGGAGACACTAAAGGAGTTTGAGAATTCATGGTTTGAGGGATGTCTTCAGACAACAAAAAAGTTTCAGACATCAGCTAGGACAGTGTCACTAAATCCTAGGCATTGTACTGAACACACCCAACAGGCCTACATCTCATTACTTTCCCCAAGAGATTTAATATATGCATGAGGATTAAGGATTGAGTCAATAAAAGAGTCTTCTGATAGAAGAAGGAAACAGAGAGGAAGCAGAAGTCTCTTCAGAATAGGATTCTGTGTCAGTCCCCTTTGGGTTCTAACAGTATATCTTAGAAATTATTTTAGATAGTGTGTACTTAAAAAGACATTTAAGAGACTTGGAATTAATGAGTCTATTGTCAAGGGGGAGAGGGGCATCATTTCAATAAGTCAAACTCCACCTATTGCTGTCGAGCTGATTCTGACTCATAGCAACCCCGTAAGACAGAGTAGAACTGCCCTACAGGGTTTCCAAGGAGCAGCTGGTGGATTCAAACTGCTGACCTTTTGCTTAGCAGCTGTAGCTCTTAACCACTGCAGCACCAGGGCTCCATCATTAGAATAGAGAATAGTTAAATAACCAGGCATATGGAAACTGACAGGAAAAAAAAAAAAAAAACTGTAGCAATTCTCTTATCAATACTTGCAAAATATAGTGTCTTCTAATTGGTGACCTCTGGGCTTTATCAAATGAACTTTACAACTTCTAGAAGAGAGTCAACCTCCATATTTTATAGTGGAAATCCTGTACTCTTCTAACCCATTCTGATAATTTATGCTGGAAAATACCATGGGGTTACTAAGTACTTAAAAGACCATTACGCTTATAAAGATAGTGATAGAGGGGGTATAGAGTTGTGTGTGTGCATATCTGTGTGCACAATTGTGTACACTTGTGTGTGTTTTTCTATTATTTTTTAATTTGAGTAACATGGCAGGCTACATTTGGGTCAGTTTTTCCCTTTGTAATTACACTAATGCTTTTTCTGACTTCATTATTTGTCAGGAGGTGGTGATTTAGTCAGTTGGGGGGTAAAACTTAAGAACTGACTGTGTTTTTCCTTCTCCCTCTGGATAACCAGTTAACCCCAGGAATGTTTTGGTCAATGCAAGGATAAAATGAGGGCAGTAAATTTTGTTTTTTAGACGGGTTTGCTATTTTTAAATCACTTGTACCATTTTCTAAGATAATGGAATATAAACAGTTTCACAAGTGGCAAAACATACTTTGGCTTGGCAAGTTTATAGGTTCTCCTTTTCTTGATGAACTAGAAATTTGCTCTTAGTTGTTATAGATGCACATGTCAGTGGCTTTGTGATTTATCCTGAAGGCACCCTGATGAAATTTTATTCCATTAATTTTGTCTTTTTAAAAACTGGAGACATTGACAGCTACAACACTGAGTGGTTGAAATCTTAAGGCTGTCACACACTGCTGTTGTTTATACAATGTCAAGTACTGGCTAGAATGATTTTTCTTCCTCCGAATGAATTTTTTAAAAAGTAGTGTTAATAAATTTAGATGCCACATAGACATGAACACGTAATGCATCAGTGGAACGGTATCCCAGTTATCCCAACATCTTCCACGCTGGGCAAATCCATTGCTGGTATATTTCCAGTGTGTTTGATTATGAGTTACATGGCCACCAGCTGAGAAGGTCCACTACTATGTTGATCTTGTCATAAATTATTATGTAAAATAATCCTTCACTGAAAATCACTGGAGTGAAGAGGTTAACTCTTTGAACAAAAGGTTCTCTCAGACAAGATATGTGAGACCATAGACTATAGTAAAATAAGAGTAAGGCTGAGAATGCATAGGCTGTGGTCTAGTCCTAACTTTCCCCCAATCTGGCTATACAGTTTTGAGCAAATCAAAACTTTCCTGGGCTCTAGATTTTCCACCTGAAAAATTAAAGGATTGAATGATTTCTAATGTTCATTTCAGAATATCAGTGGCCTCTCTCCTCGCTGCCTTCCCTTTCTGCCTTCTCTTCCTAGTGTATATACCCTTAAAGTAGAAGGATATAACAGCTGCTGGTGAGGACATTGGACAATAATCGCTCACAGTTGACATTCTTCTCACAGCCCAGGTAATCCCTAGTATTACAACTGAAGAAACAGCTACCAAGAAAGAGCAGTGGTTTGGGAATGGAGGGCCTGGGGAACATCCCCAAATACCGGAAGAAGACTCTCATTCAACAACAGGGACAACTGGTAATAGCTGGTTTAACTAGCAAACTTAAGTGGAAACTTCCTTTTAGTTAAATGTTGGACGTGGAGGACACTGAACAAAAGGCCAGTCTTGAAGGAATTGTCACAGACGTTAAGGTTTCTTAATAAATTATGGTGCAGTCAATCCCAACCTAATCCTAAGTGCTTATAACAAATCACCTGAGCAGAAATGGATATAAGCATGTAAAGGAGACACTGGGAATATACCCTTGAGTATGTCTCTTTCAGATCTAGTTTGGGGCATCCCCTAGTGAGATTGTAACAGAAACCCTGATCTGGCAAAATGCTCCCTTTTATTTTGTAAAGGAATCTACTCTATGAAATGGGTCCAGGACTGACAACATGATTCTATGAAGCACTGGGCTGGTGAGAAAGCATTAGTTGGGACCCCAGTATTTGAAGAAATGGAGACAGACATTTTGAGAAAAATGACACCTGTCTGTTGTTACTTGGCCCTTTGTTCACGTCTCTGTTTGGTGATTTCTCCTTGAGTGTATGATGTTTTTTTTCTTGGGTTTACAAAAAAAAGCATCTTCTCTCTTCTTGAGCTGTGGGATTATGGAAACTAGACTCAAGTCTTGTCATCATCTCTAAACAATGCCAGATAACTTGGCTTTGCAAGCTCATATGCATGATTCTTTTCTCTGTGTGACATACATATTGAAACGCATTGTGTCTTGTAAAAGAATGTGAATTCCACATTCTCTCTTGGTGTCAGTGAGAGATACTCCAGTGTTTCCATTTGCAATATAGAATATAATACATAATGTCCTTCCAGGGTGTGACAACTTCTGAATGCATTCCGGGCAGAGCAATGGATTCAGTGACTGGCATGTGGTGTGGTGGTTGCTAAGGGGCTACTGTTATAATCTTTCCTACCTATATTTCTTCACTAGCGCAGAATGAAGTAAAGGCATGTACTGCACACTTATTATGGATTCCATTCATACTTTTGAGATGAATGGCTTTTACTTTCATGTTGATCAGATGGGAAGCTGTTACCTGATTCCTTCTGTACCCCACTTCCAGCCTCCTGTGCATTTTTTCTGGGATGTGGCTGTCTCTTTTATGGGACTGTGGCAATATGGCATGGGTGAAGAACTATTTCTCCTTCATTTTCACTTGATGTCAATAACTCATCTTCTGTCCACTGCTGAAGTTGTTAATGCTTTTGTGTTCCTCAGTTCACATGCTGATTGCTAAGAAAATGAGCATGAAAGAACCCAAGCACACTGAAACTTTCTGCGATTACAGACCTCCTTGCCCACTATACAGGGACGATGGTTTCATTGTCTTGTCTAGAAAATAAAGCCTTAAAAAAAAATCAGTATATCCCAGGTCAAAAGTCAATTAACACTTTGATAATTGCATAGTCACAACAGCCTCAGCCCACGACAGTCATACAAATCAAAGAATGACAACGCAGAGTCAAGAGGACAGTACTTCCTGGATGGATTTCTTCGATCCAATCTCACATCCAATGGGACGAGGTCATCGAACAGGAGGAAGGATGGGTAATAACCTCTGAGCTTTTTTCTAAATTATGTTTTTGAAATCCACCAAATGCCTATTTTTTTAGAAATATGCCCTTGGTTTTAGACTAGGCTACTTTCCTAGGAAAGAACTGGAAGTTTTTTCAAAAATCAGTTTTCTTGGTGAGAGTGATACACGCGTGCATCATATAGCGAATTTCTGGGCTGAGAGTGAAGAATTTGGCAGGGGGATAAAGAAGAATTAGTCCTAGGATGATGGGAACAGAAATCATTTCCTGTGAGGAAGGGGCATTCCCAGGATTTTTTTCCTTTTATTTCTAAGTGCAGGGTTTTAAATAAAGTGATGGATTCAGTGACTATTTCCGTTGTAAACCCAAAATATAACTTGTTGTTGGCAGAAAAATCTGAGAGGTCAGAAACTGGTGACTAGTCATTCCAAACAGGTTAACTACAAGGCTCAGAAAACATTTACTCATGTCACATTTAGAGATAATTCAGTACTAAGGGAAGTATTTAAGATTTAGACCATGCTTGGCCCTCAACAAATGTTTGTGAATTTAATGGGTGGGCAACATTTACACAGGATGGAATCCCTGTTTTCTTAAATACCATTCTTTCTTACTTATCTGTGAGCAATTCAAAAACAGAATTAGAGACAAAGATAGAAATAGTAGTAGCACTGCAAAAATGGAAGATTGTGATTTTACTTGACCAATTTTTATATTTAAAAAGAATTCTTCCTTGTCCTAACAAATGACATCTTTTCTGAGAGAGTCTCCAAGAGTTGGTGGCAGGTGGTACTCCTTTCTTCTCAGTCTTTAATAAATTTAAGAATCCATGTTCCTTACTATTCCCATGAACAGGGTTATTCATTTTTCTTTTTAATTTAACAAGATGTCCTCATCACAGAAAAGTAGCATTCCAAAAAGAAGATAAATCAAAAGAATCAACATAGGGATGTGAGTCTTCAGTCATAGCATTGAGTATATTATCTGGATCCTAATTGCCAAGGGTATGCACGACACAAAACTTACTGAAATGTGTTCTAAGAGCACAGTGACTATGTCTCTTGGTATTGAATATATATAAAGTTATCTTCAAAAATTAATCCAAGGGTTTCTATAGTTGCATTTCTTTAGAACACCTAACTATACCTTACCCAAATATTAGTGATCAGATATCCCTTAAACTACAATGTGTATTAAATATCTGCTAATATGCAAAGCATTATGGAGATACAAAGATGTACAATTCATGGTATGCTCTTAAGAAACTTAACATCAAGTTGAGAAAAGAAAACATTTAGCATGAAAATATATCTACTAATACAAGACAGTAAATAATAGGTATCAAATGAATATTGCAAACAATAAGCACAAAAGGAATTCAGAGAAGCCTCTGGAGAGTGTCAGGGAAAGGCCAATTAGACCTGGTTTTTGAAAAACAGAAAAAAAAAACATAGATAGGCAGAGAAGGAGTTGGGAGAGTTTTTCTAGGAAGGAGACTTATGTGAGGAGAGTCATAAAGGAAGGAAAGCCAAGGCATGAATTTGGCAGAAGTGAGTGGGTCCATTTGGCAGGTTTTCTTTGGTTGTATAAAAGAAGGTAAGTTTGAATGACTGGCTTGGGGCCATTATGCTGAGTGACTGAAGTACCACATGCAGACCCAGCACACGTGTTATGCACACAGCTGCTGGAGGCTCTGATGACATCCCAGCTGAGAAGCTAAGCCAGTCAAAGAACTTTAGGATCAATATTTTGTCTCCATACCAGTGAAGAGAGAGAAATTCCATTAAACTGATGAGCATGTCAAGAACAATAAGATTGGCTTTGACCATAAAATGATTTTGACACCTCTTCAAGGATTCTACTTATAAAAGGAAAGATTAACAAGAATTACACCTTCAACAGGCAGGAATTTTTCTAGAAGAATATCCAGTTGGGATTTTTATTTGGGTTTGCTGGCCCTTCCTCTTTTTTGAAATCTGGAATAGTAGAGTCACAGTCACATTTTTGTCCTACAAAGACTTCGATTCTCTTTTCTTTTTGCATGTAAAAGCTGCAGTGCAGATGTGGGTGCCCAATATTCGGTGCTTGCCTCTGGAGTCATTTGGAGCTCATTAAATTTCCCCAGAGGCAGAAGTGTGGGCAGGCTTTGACTGAACTGGAGAGTCAGCAATATTGATGGTGTTTATGAATTATTTGACCTCTGCTTCACTTAGGGCTTTTTATTGCAGCAGAATAGATCTGTGATAACTACTAAAAACAGCAGTTATAAATATTTCAGTGAAATTTCTACGCTATTCAGCATTGTGCATGTTAAATTTCAAAGACACCTCATAGAAGTGTTTAGGTGCTAGAGTGGTTCATTGCTTCTTATTTCTTGCCCGTGTGCACGTCTTGTGGCTTCCACCTAGGTAATATTAGATGAGAATTCTATGCTTTGATTTGCATGTGCGCTTTGTGACGAGAAAGAGGACTAGATAAGAGAGTTGTAAATAAGTTTCTTTGGCAGGTAAAGGAGGTGTGAGAAAATGGTGTCTAATAAGCCAGCGCACTTTGTGTTTTCTTTATGTGTCAGGTTACGTGTGCTTATATGAAATGCAGTGTGTATGGAATGGGACAAGTCACATGTGGATGATACTGCTGTCTCTCTGTAAGGCTGGGGAGTCCCCTCCTGTGCTCATGTTAGTGCCATGAAGTCATCCTTCCAGACTGAGCAAACACAAACAAAAATCACAGATTTTATACAACTCACCCCTTAAATGAAATGAGGCTACTTTTTGCGATGCTCTTTTGAAGAAAAAATAATCTATTCTAATTCTGGAGACATGAAACAGTAGGTGTTTTCCTTCTTCTTATCCAGGCTTGAATATAAAAGTAATTCAGCTGTAGACTACATAAACCACCCTCAGGTAGTAGTTTAGGAAATCAAGCAATAACACTGATTTAATTCCTTCAGATATGGACTCCAGCCATAGTACAACGCTTCAGCCTACTACTGATCCAGACGGAGGTTTGGACTTGGACAGGACAGGACCTCTTGCAATGGCAACTCGTAAGGATGGTGACAGCCAGCCCCTTTATTGACCTGTATTCTTGCTTCTGCTCTTAGATTGGCCAAGATGCCAGAGCTTGGTGGTGGAGTGGTACACTTAGAGCTATGTGGATCAGCTCAGCCCAGAGTGTAAAAGCAGTCTTCATTGCCTGTATTTCCTTGGTGGTGGTTCTTTAAAACTGATTTTACCTTCATGTTGTTGCCTTCCAGATTCGCTAACTTTATGTTTAAAGAAAAACGACAAAGGTTGCGAGACTCCATTGAATTTGATTTTCCTTCTCTAAGTACTCATGTCAGTGACAACCGAGGCCACTGTTAGGACAGTGTTTGTTTTCTCCATGTTTTAAATGACATCTCCTTATGATTTCTATCTTTCCCCTGACCAAGGCAGAAGAGAGATAGGATTACTCTGGTGGTTGTGAAAAGATATTTTGAGGCCAGTTATTCATAAAGGATAAGGAAATCAGATCAGCCCACAGGGGAGGAGGAAGGCACATTGTTGACAATTGACAAAGTCAGGAGGGTCCTTGGAACAAAAAAGGAACATTTGCTAATACTACTTTCTATCACTAACATATGGCAGGAATCAATGCTAAGTTTCTAGTAGCCTTCATTTCCACTCTTTGTGCCAGGATAGCCTAGAGCTCAGTCTAAAATTCTTGGCAGCACATGAAAGGAATGAGAATTACGGGGCCATCTGCCTCATTTCACTACTTGCTACACATAATGGGCAGAGTCCTTCATGGGAGCCATTCTAGGCAAAAATAAAAAAATCAGCAAGCATGTGTTGATTGTCAACAATGTAAATAGCAGTGTTGGGTATCAAAGAAGGTGCAAATAAGTCTAAGAATGGCCTCTGCCATTGGAAGGCTATTCCATTTAATGTCACTGTTGACTTTGTTCTGATGTTGGATTTGGGCTTTGGTGAATGTCTCTCTCCTGGTTTAATATTTATTTGGTGGTGGACATGGCTCATGGGTGCACTTTATGGAGTGCTTGCACCTGTAACTCAAAGGTCAGCACCTTTTCTTAGAAGAACACGAAAGAAATGAACTCAAATCAAAGTGACTTCAGATATGGCAATGCTTCAACCTCAAATTGATATACGTCACTGAGGGCCCTGTGTTTGCCCAGGCAAGCGTTTCCTCAGTGCAGAGATGAGAATCACATCCACAGATGAGATCCAAAACCTAGTAATAGAGTAAAATGGCGACTTCGTTTAATGCTCTTTAGAGGGAAGTTAGGAGTTTCTTGTATAAAATGGATCTGAGTTACCTGAGCAGGTTATTCTAGCTGATCTCATTCCTCTTTTATGGTTATAGGTGTACTACCTGCTATCATGGCATTTATGTTCATTACAATCTCACTTCTTGACCAATAGTCAGGTGCTCTTGATTGTTGATAGGAACACTGAGACTCGAGCATTCCTTTTCCCATGTGTCTATGTTCTCTAGTTTTCCTTAGTGACTGGGAGCAATACAATCAGATCAGGATGATCCAGGGTGGACAAAATTTTGAGTCAGGTTTCACCTTGACACTTTACTTTCACTGACTATTCTGATGAACAAAGGGTCTTAGGGGCCAACGAAGGGTAAAACAGAATTCTCTTGTAGATTTTTATCCATCAGAGAACGGTGTGCACAAACTTTGTTTTTCCTTTGCACCTACCTATTTTGGACACTTCTATAGCAGATAACAGAGAAATTATATCATGGTTCCAAATTAACGCTGGATTCATCCCTCACTGAAACAGAACAGAGTCATTCTCAGACCTTCTCTACAGAACATGGAGGCTTGGAAGAAGATAAAGACCATCCAACAACTCCTGCTCTAACATCTAGCAGTAAGAATTATAAAGCCCAGGTGGCTTCAACTCTTGATTTAAAAAAAAAAAAAAATGAACAAATTTTGAGTGCTTTGGCTGTGTCTTTGGTGGAGGTGCATCAATTGACTGCTGTTATGCTGTTGTTTTTGGTTAGTAGGTGCATCTGGTGATGGTTCTCTGGTTTTTCTGCTTTGTAGACCTCTTGGTAGTCATTGTACATTAAGTGCAAACTATATATCTTAATCTTAAAGGTTAGGTTCCTTAAACTCTAGAGTTAGTGTCTTGGTTTAAATAAAATGAATTGCTTACATAGTGACCCTATAGGACAGAGTAGAACTGCCTCATGGGGTTTCCAAGGAGCGGCTGGTGGATTTGAACTGCTGACCTTTTGGTTAGCAGCCAAGCTCTTAACCACTGTGCCACCAGGGCTCCCTATCCGCCTTGTAACAATGTTATTTTTCACGTATCTTCAGGACCATAAATCCAAGGTGCCGGGTGACAAAGAAGTAGTGCCCTTCTGACAAAGAAAAAAAAAAAAGCTAAATTGGTAGCCTAAGGTCTTTGAAATCTTGCATTTGCCATTCCAATTGCAGACTATATAATTTTACCTTCCAATCCAATGGTGTGTTTCTTCAACTTCATCAAAGGTGGATCCAACTGAGAAAGAGTTCATGATTATCTAGTACCTGATTGGGCTTTAGGGTCTCAGTTGAAGTGACACAAATTTACCTTAACAACCTAGGCAGGAGTTGCAACAAATGTCTCTTCTGGGTATTAGCATCACTAAAATCTCTTCTGTCAAGTGCTATCTAGGTGGTGTTGGTTACAGAATATTGATTATATCTGACAATGTAATGAACTTCAGTGTCTTTTGCTCCTTGTTCATGGATAGTAAGTGGAAAGGAAGGGCTTTTGCAGCAATTACATGTGCTGGAGACAAACACACAGTGGGCAGTGGCTTTACAAATGTGGGTTTACCATTGATTCCACCTCCACACAGACAGAAATGATGGCAGAGGTGGAAGAAGAGGTGAAAATCTTCCCGAAGACTCAACTACATCAGTGGAAGTTTATACCCCTCATTTCCCAGACACAAAGGAAAACAGGACCCTCACCCCAGTGACCCCTGCTCAGACTGGGTCCCCTGGAGTTACTGAAGTTACTGTTGTTGGAGGTTCCAACTCTGATGTAGCGGGTTCATTTCCAGGTAATTTGGACATTTGTTATCTGGTTTGCTTTCTCTATAGGGAGAAACAACACATACTTTCATATTACAGGGAATATTTTCTGTCTAGGATGTGCTTACACTAGTTTGTGATATGGCAATAACTTTCATCACTGATCATCAACACTAGTACAAGTAACCTTGGATTGAGATAGTTTAGATAAAATAATGCTTCATTTGCCAGTGTAATTTCTATTTCTTTTTATGACTCGATTGTTGTGATGGAAATTCTTTTTGTCTCGTTCCTGATCTTGTGATATATTAAGTTGTAGGTCAAAATAGTTGAATATGGCAATTTCATTTGCTTCAACTAAAATATGCTGCCTATTTAATAAGGTTTTACCAATGTGTGTGAATAATTTCCATATTCTAATGTTCTTCTTCTAAAATTATCTTTTTTATTGTTGTTGTAAAAAATGTAGGTAACACAACATTTGCTGAAATTATTATCTTTTATTGGTGATTAACAAATTTTACTTTTGGTGAAGGGCCAGTGGATAAATCTATTCTAGTTATGATGTACATTTAAAAAAAATTTTATGTAATCTGCTGTTAATCAATAGGCACCATTTTTCTTGTAATGGCAAAGAGCTTGACATGTAGACTCAGGATGGTACATTTTGTTTCTCAAACAGTAAGTCTTCTCTACTTCTGCTTTTCTTTGTTTCTCCATCTGCATTAAGAAGCTAAAACTGAAAGAAAAAAAAAAGAGAGAGAGAGAACTGGAATATGCTCACTCTGGCTGGGAAACTAAAAACTGGTTCTCTCTTCCTAGTGTTAGTTCTTCAGATGCTTCTTACCACTCAACCACTAAGGCACATTAAAGATTAGTTGCCTTAAATATATAGTTTCTGTAGCAGAAACCCTTTTTCTGAAAAAAAAAGAAGAAAAAGAAATCTAACGAGAACCCAATATATAAAACAGATGACAGTCATGAGGCTGTGACTGATGCGGGGACAGAAAACCCAGAATGCCTCATGCTCTGCCTCCTTCCCTGAGCTGCCCACGCCAGGGCTCTCAGGAAAAGTTTCAAGAAATACTGATTCGGGCAATATTGGCAAGACAAAGCCTCTTACACTTATTAGTTTTTTATTCAGCATGGTTTCTCCGTTATTAAAAATTCCAAGTACCATTTTTAGTATTCTTCTGGAGAAATGAATCTTAGAGTGTTGCCTAGTTTCTCTTGGCAAAATAAGGCCTGTTGTGCAACCTAATGAAGTAAAATTTTAAACAACAATTTTAATAGTTACCGTATCCTAGAAGGCATGCGTAGCCTAATTATTATTAAATAAAATAAAGCTTACTTGTGTCCATACGTTTCTCTCAGTCTTTATGCTTAATATTAAGAACTAAAACATTTGGAATTGTAGTGGCAGTGGTGGTGATGGTGATGGTGATGGTGATGGAGTTGGTGATGGTGATGGTAATGGAGCTGGTGATGGTGATATTAGGAATTGGGGTATTGGTGTTGGCATTTCAGCAAATGCTGTTTTCAGTTATTCTACCCATCAACCAAGAAACAAAGAAATCTGTCTCTGCAATGCAATTACATGAGAGATTACAAGTCACTCAGCTCTGTCTTCTCTAATCAAGGAAATAGTGATGATCAGGTTACTGTACATTCCGTATAGGTAACTTCTTATGAATAACAATTGCCTTTTTATGAAACCATTGTTCTGTGATTTCTTTTGAAGACTCTAACATAGTTTTGGAAAATGTGTAAGGGCAGGGGAAGGGGTTCAGAGAGAAGGAAGGGAGTTTCAATATGCTGAATCCAAGGTTTGACCTATGGATTCAGATTTTAGCAATTCATGAACTTATCCCAATCTAAAACCTTAGGTAATGGATACCTGAGAGGAGATTGGGTTATATTAACTATTGGTGTTGACGATACAGATTTAATTTTTGAAAAATATTATTTGAAACTTACCCTAATACCCAGGCACACATTGTTCACATGTTAGGTATCATCTCCCCATTCCTATTTTCATTCTTTTTCTCTAAATAGATTGTTGACTTGTCTCTTTGAGTCTTTACATAGTTCAATCCCAAGATCCCGTGCTGCAGACCCAAACCTTTTTCTATTTCCTGCCTCAGTGAAATCTTTTAAAATGTCTCATGCCCTAAGCCACATTCCCAGTGATCATGCTTGTCATAATACAAAGCATATAGTCCTTATTGCAAAGACACAGTGACCTACAAAGACACCGTAATATTTTTGTCACAGTGTTCATTGCCACCAGAGGCCCAATGGGGGGAGGGGAGGGGAGGGCAGGTAGGGCTTGAGGCAGGGTGCCAATTAGCAGTTTCTATTGACCATCACAATTGCCATAGATTGCTGTGAGAGATCATTTAGCAATTTAACACTAATTGCCCTAGGCACTATGTTCCATAGTTAGGCCCCTGATAGCCACAGTTCTTGGATGTCTACCAAAACCACACTTCCTATGGTCACTCTTAATCGCCTGTGCTGTGCAGTTTCCTTAATTTTGATTAAAGCACTAGCCCACTCATCAGTCTATTAGCAAGGAGCAGTTATTAATATCCTTGAGCCATTCAAGCCTCCTTTGCCATCCTTTTTTGGTTACCTTCTAAAGACTCAGCTTTGTAACGTGCTGTATGGAAATGCAAACAGAAAGCAATGCAGGTGGCAGTGTAAGTGGAAACACATAGTACTGACCTTTCCCTGCTTGTGTGTTACAGGACACCAAAACAACAAGACTGGTAAGAGGTCCCATACCACTCACGGATCTGAGTCGGCTGGTAAGTTTGAGCTGCTTTACACATTTACTGTTATAATAATCATAGAATCTGCTGATTATTAACGAAGTATGAGTTTGTGTCTCTAGAACAATGGTCCTCAAACTTTTTAAGAATGCGTCAGAATCACCAGGGCCAGTCCCAATTGCTGTCCAGTTGACTCCAACTCATGGCAACCCCATGGGTGTAAGATTAGGACTGTGCTCCATAGGGTTTTCAATGGCTGATTTTTTGGAAGTAGATCACCAGCACTTTCTTCCGAGGTGCCTCTGGGTGGATTTAAACCTCCAAACTTTTGGTTATCAGCCAAGCGTGTTAGCCATTTGCACCACCCAGGGACTTGCATAGAATCACCAGGAAGGTTATTAAATTACACTGCTGGGCTCCACATTTAGGGTTTCTGATTCAGTAGGTCTGAATACCTGAGCATTTATATTTCTAATAAGTTCCCTGGTGATGCTGATATTGATGCTGAGGTAGGGACTACACTTTGTGAACTACTGTTCTGGAGAAAATCGTCCATCTGAAAGGATCTGGAAGAATTCAAGCAGGATCTCAATTTAACTTTGCATACAGCAGAGTGATTAAGAATGTATGCTTTTGGAATAAGAGTGGCCTGAGTTTAATCCCAGTCCTTCCACATATTAACTGGGCAAGATGCTTATAGGTAGGGTCTGAGGCTCAGTTTCCTAACCAATAAAATTTGGATAATAATAATTGCCACAGGTCGTTGATTAAAAACTAAAATGATGGAACTCATGTAAAGCATTTAACATAATCCCTGGCACATGGCAATAATAGCTAGCGTTTATTGAGAACTTACTGTGTGCCAGACATTGTTTTAAAGACTTTACATGTATTAGGTTGGACCATATGCAAATGTCATTTCTGAAGGTCAAGAAAAATCAAATATCAACAATTTCATATGTTCATCTAATATCAACTCATTTAATCAACCTACAAATCGTGTGATATATCTAGGTACTATTATTACCCCCATACTACAGATGAGAAAATTAAGGCCAAGCTGACACAACTAGCAAGCTGAGGATCCAGGTTTAAAGCACAGGGGGTCTCACATTGCCTCTCATAAGTATGATCTGCAGAAAGCACTCTGTAATGACCATAATTATCACAAGGCATGTGTTATTAAATGGATTCAAACATTAACTCCAGGCAGAAGTCTGACATGATGAAGGTTTACTCTTGACATCTAATGCTGGGGCTACTGAAGGGCTCTGCCAAGGATAATGGCTTACCATGTTCTCCCTAACCCGTTGCTGTCAAGATAACCCTGACTCATAGCGACCCTATAGGACAGAGTAGAACTGCCCCATAGGGTTTCCAAGGAGCAGCTGGTGGGTTCAACTGCTGACCCTTTGATTAGCAGCCAAATGCTTAACCATTGTGCAACCAGGACTCCATGTCTCCCTGGTCATCCACAAATCCAGGCGAACCTAAGTAAATTGTTGTCCTCTCCCATCATGCCTAATATGGTACTAGGGTTGTCCCCTGGTTTAAATATTCACACATTTAAAAGATATATTACGATGGAAATGTACATGACATGGCTTTACTAATAACCTTTTATGTAAGAGCCCAGGGAGGTAGGGGCTCATTAGAAATGGCTCTGAAGGAAGAGACAGATGTCTTGGGCTCGCTGGGGACCTTGAACAGGGCATTTAACCTTTCTCAACTTCAGTTTTCTTGTTAGTAAGAGGAAATCTGAATGCCTGCCTAGGTTACCTCCTAGAGAGCTTGTGAGGAACAAAAGATATGGCAATGTGAAGGTATTCTGAAAATGAACCAGTATCAGTTACCGGATTCCAACTCATGGAGACCCCCTGTGTGTCAGAGTAGAACTGTGCTCCATAGGATTTTCCATGGCTGTGACTTTTCAGAAGTAGATCAACAGGTCTTTCTTCCAATGCACTTCTGGGTGGATTCAAACTGCCAACCTTCTGGTTAGTAGCCAAGTGCTTAACCGTTTGCACCAACCTGGGACTCCTCTGGAAATGGAAGGGAATTATTATTAAAAGGCATGCTCACTAAAGTCAAGATACCCCAGTTACTCCAAGTATGGTCCTTGGACCAGTAGCATGGACATCACTTAGGAGCTTATTGGAAATGCAGACTCTCCGGCCAGCCCCAGACCTGCTGAATCAGGATCTCCATTTTAACCAGATCCCCTTCCCCCACCCCAGGGGGGTTGTCTGCACATCAGGGTTTGAAAAGCACTGTCCTAGACTATTTTTCTCACAGTTGAATTATCTCTGTGCACATCTCAGATTAGATCTCATCTCCCCAACTGGAGAGTCAAGTGCCCTCTTTGCAGAACCTGCTTTCCCAGCCAGTCCTACCCTGGCTGGATTTGCGGACCTCAGCGGCGCAAGGGGAGGCCTGCTGTATCTCATTCATCCACTTTGGCTTTTGCTTGAAGTGAGAATCAGGTGGGCGGGAGCTGGTCTTCTTGTTTGATTCCGGTGCAGGTGTCCATTGTTGAAAGGGGAGGTTTCATCTTGTTGTACACACACCCAGATCTTTCCTTGCTGGGAGCACTTTTTTTGAAAATCAAAATAAAGAGATCATGATCCATTAATGGACTTCCTTTCAAATATCAAATGCTGATGTGAGTCAGAGAAAGACCAGCGAGAGTGACTTTGCCTCTAGGTGGTTTTCAAGGCCAAAGATCTCCTGTTGAGATGGCCGATATGCCATGACTTGTGCAGGTGAAAACCTGCCAGCCACCAGGGACTCTGGAAAGTGCCTCGGACTCCTTCTGATGTTTGGAAAGTAAAAGGCCACAGCCAAAAAGGGATGGGGTGTGTTGAAACAGCCAGGCATCTGGGAAGAATTTGTTTTGCTCCATTTAGAGTTTAATATGAAACATCAAATTGCATGAACAGGAGCCATCCTATCCAAAATAACCATTGTCATCAAGACTTTAGTATCTACTGTGCAGAGTCTGAAGTTTGACTCTCCAAGGAAAACGTTTCATTGATGGCCTGGCCATCTTCATCCATTTATTAGGCAAGCAGGCTTCCCTGGTGGCACAGTGGTTAAGAGCTCGGCTGCTAACCAAAAGGTCATCAGTTTGAATCCACCAGTCACTCCTTGGAAACCCTATGGGGCAGTTCTCCTCTGTCCTATAGGGTCGCTATGAGTCGGTATCAACTCAGTGACAATGGGTTTGGTGTCAGTTTTTTAGGCCTTTAGGATTCTGCAGTAGGTTCCTATTTAGTAGGGAAAAAAGTTCATTTTAATGGGAAATTTTAAAGTTTTGTTTTTGGAAGATGGAGCATAAAAAATGAAGCTTCACTAGTTGTCTTAGAAGTGTCTTTTTGAAGTCTGATGCTACCCTTGTTTTGATGAACTTCCTGTTCTGACTGGTGGGCTCTCTGTCTTGTGATGCTTCCCTCTGGTTTGAGTTTTTCATTTGTTTGTTTCCTTTGTTTGTTTTTCAGCAGCAGGAGATGTTCTTTCTTTTAAAAACAAGACATGTTTCACTAATATATTATTATCAGGGACTCTACTAGGGTGACTTTTCACAGACAAAAAGGACCACTCCTTCCCCCGCGAACTCTTAGTTTTTAAATGTTTATGTTTGCTTACCTAAAAACATCAGATGTGATTTTTAGATTTGCTTTGGTCTTTATGAAGCATGTGAATCCCCTAGGGATCTTGTTAAAATGAAGATTCTGATTCCATAGGTCTGTGGTGAGGCCTGAGATTCTGTATTCCTAGCAAGCTCCCAAGTGATGTTTATGCTGATGGTCCACGGAGCATGCTTTGAGTAGTAAGATCCTCAAGAAAAAATAGAAAGTAACAACTACACACAACTGAGTACTGTGTGTTTCTTTAAACCTCTGCAAAATTATGGAGTAGATTTTATTATTATCTCCATTATATGAGACTTGGAGAGAGTAACTTGGTCCAGCACACACATACTGCTAGCAAGAGGCAGAGGTAGGACTCAAATCCAGGTCTGTCCACCTCTACAGCCCAAGTTCTTAAACACTGCACAACACTGTCATTGAGAATTCTTATGTTCCTTGATAAAATGATAATGATAATAACGATAACATTTCCAAACCTCAGCCTTAATTAAACTAAACTTTTGGGGAGAAATGTCTTTTGTGTAGCATATTATAGATTCCTCGCTGGCACAGTTTGTGCTAACTACCAACCGAAAGGTTAGCGGTTCGAATCCACCCACAGTGATGCTGTAAAAGAAAGTCCTTGGTGATCTGCTCTGTAAAGATTACAGCCAAGAAAACCCTGTGGAGCAGTTCTACTCTGCAATACATGGGGTCACAATGAGTCGGAATGGTCTCAACAGCGGCTGGTTTGGTTTTTTTGGTTTTGGTAACATTTTTATAAACGTCTGTGGCTTGCATCTGTAAGTGGCTTCACAGTGCTATACATACAGGTTGACCTGTGTGTTGTTATGTAAGGAGCTTATGGCTATGCATTCCAAACTTTGGGTGAGAGATATTGTTTTTCTCCTTAGGACATTCAAGTGGGAGTCAAGAAGATGGTGCCAATACTACAGCGAATCCTATAAGGAAAGCACAAATTCCAGGTGAGTTTCTATCTGTGAAACAGAATAAGATGCTTAAAGCAGACCCCTCTGAATGTCCCAGAAGGAAGGAAGAGACCAACTCAAAAGCACATTCTCTTAAATGCCAACCTTTGAACCTTCTGTTCCCTGTAAGTGAAAGGATGAATGAAAGCAGAACAGCCTTTTGGTAGGAAAGGATGGAGCACTCTCTTCTTGGCCTTCCTGGGTCCCATCGATTGAGTTTACACTAGACCTGTCCCAAAAAACTGCCAGGTTAGTTACTAAAGCTTCCTTCTCAAATGAGTGATCATCCAGAAGATTTCATTCACGCCCAGGTCTTTCCCATCCCCGTCCAGTTTCCCCTTTATTTCTGGGGTTGAGGGTGAAGGGTGTGACTTTCATATTGCAGAAAGTGAGGAGATACAAGGGTCATTTGTCTGAGTCAAGTAAAAACATCTTTCTAGTACCCCAACTACTTTTTCTCGAGTCTTTCCTGATCTGGGCAGAAGACACCTTCCAGAAAGTGTTACATGTGCAGTGAGGGAACGGGAACTACTGACTCTTCTGAGCATCAACATTTAAGGCATTTGATGCAAATTCTTTGTTTGGCTGGGGCTCAAAATTGAGCATTTGTAAAGGGTGATTACAAAAAAGGGAAGGGTTTTCCTAGAGTTGTAAATTATCCTTTTAATTCCCTCCTCTTTTTAGAAGTCTCAAAACTGACCTTCCCTTGAGGAAAGGGAATAATGTCATGTGTGCTTCACCACCCCATTGCCTCAGTCTGCCTGAGCACATCTGAAGGCAGAGAATATGGAAAGAGGAAGTGGGTTTCCCGGGGGAAGAGGAAAGCAGTTTGCTATCACCAGGAGTAGGACTCTTCTTGACTCTAGTGAACCTGAGTGTGGGGCATCTCCATGGCTGACCAGGGGAAACGAATAGAAATGACACCCTCCTGTGGGCTCCCCACTCATCTGACCTTACTGTCCTCCCCAAACTCACCTAACCAGGCACAGGTGAGGCAAAGGCAGTGCTGACCAGGAAACTGGAGGAAAACCAAGACTCCCAAAGAGTAATAGAGAATGAATGACTTTCCATCTTTCTTCTTTCCTCAAGCATTAGTTCATTACACAGATGTACAATCCACTTTTCAACTGAATATATTCAAGCTGACAAGTCCTTTTAACAACTGATTTTAAAACATGTATATAACATTTTATTAGTTCCTAAGTGATACATAGTTACTGAAAAAGTTTTAGAAAATGTAGCTAAATAGAGAAAAAGATAAAGTACTTATTATCTCTCCATCCAGAAATACCATGGTTACCATCTTGATGTATGCCTTTCTTGTCTTTTTTTTTTTTTAATTAATAGACTTTATTTTTTAGAGCAGTTTTAGGTTTGCAGAAAAGTTGAGCAGAAAGTACAGAGAACTGTCATTTACCCCCTTCTGTCCCACCCACAGAATTTTCCCTATTTTTAACAACTTGCATTAGTGTGGTACATTTTTTACAATTGAGGAACAAGTACTGATGTGTTATTGTTAACCAAAGTCCCTAATGTCCATTAGGATTCTCTTTGTGTTGTACAGTTCTATGAGTTTTGACAAATATATAATGTCATGTGTCCACCATTACAGTATCATACAGAATAGTTTCACTTGCCTTAAAAATGCCCTGCTAGCAACAGGCAGACACCTATTCATCCCTCCCTCCCACACCCCAAGCTCCTGGCAACCATTTGTCTTTTTACTCTCGCCATAGTTTTGCCTTTTCCAGAATGTCACATAGTTGGAATCATACAGTATGCAGCCTTTTCAGACTGGTTTCTTTCACATGGCAATGTGCATTTAAGGTTTCTCATGTCTTTTCATGGCTTGATAGCTCATTTCTTTTTATAGCTGAACAATATTCCATTGTATGGATGTACCACAGTTTATCCATTCACTTATTGAAGTACATCATGATTGCTTCCAAATTTTGGCAATTATGAACAGTGTCACTATAAACATTCGTGGTTAGGTTAAGTTTCCAGATCATTTGGGTAAATACCTAGGAGCACGATTGCTGATTGTATAGTAAGACTATGTTCAGCTTTGTTTAGAAGCTGCCAGACTGTCTTCCAAATGGCTGTACCATTTTGTATTCCCACCGGCAACGAATCAGAGTCTGTCAGCATTTGGTGTTATCAACATTTTGGGTCAATGTGTGTAATAGTATCTCACTGTTATTTTACTTCCTGCAGTTTTTCAATGTAACTTATATTTTAAAATGTATTTATACCCTACAGGCTCTTTAGTAAACTAACATTCCCTACTGGTTGGGCACAGATTTCCATGTCATTACATATTCTTCCCTGTACTGTGGTACATAATACAGTGGATGTATCCTAACTTATTTAAGCAAACTCTTACTGTTGGATATTAGATTGCTTCCAACTTTTCCTATTATAAATAGCTCAGTGATCAGCATCCAAACAGGTAATTCTGAACTCCTATAAATACCTGGAAATGCGACTGCTGCATCAAAAATACGAACATTTTGCAGGTTTTTGACAAGTGTTGCCCAATGACTCTCCGCTGAACGTGTTCAGGTTCACAATCCTTCCATACTCCATAAGAGCGTCCTTTCCCCTGTGCACTAGAATTTGGCCTCTATTTTTGTTTCTTAATGAAATGTAAGGTTGATGCTCTTATATAGGAAAGGAATAGTCTTTTCAAGGGAAGCATAAATGTCCTTTAGTCTACTTAATAATACCACACCAAACGTATCTACAAGTTTCAATAGCTCATTCAAAAACTACAGTTTTTTGGAAACAAGTTTCTCCCAAAGGACTTGAAAATCCCCAGGATAATGAAAGTTTTAAACAAGAGGCCTGTTGGACAAACATCAGTAGCAAAATTGTTTTTTCAGTATTATCTGCCTGTTGTCTAGGCCTTTTGGCTGGGCCCATCTGCAGTGCTGAATAGCATTCTTGTTTGGACCAACTAAATTTGTAAAGTACTTCTATTTTTCTACAAAGTGTATTTCCAAAGTTCACACATGTCTTTTGGTTCACTCAACCCAGAATGGCTGATCATCTTGGCGTCCCTTTTGGCCCTGGCTTTGATTCTCGCAGTTTGCATCGCTGTCAACAGTCGAAGAAGGTAAGGAAATGCTCCTTGCGGCTTTTGACTTGGAACATTTAAACTGAGGCTCGGTATCCTTGCTGCTCAGAGGCTCAGAGTGTGGTCTCTGGAACTAGCAGCCTCACACCCCTGGGAGCTTGTTGGAAATGCAGACTCTCAGGCCCTAACCTAGGACTACTGCATCAGAGTCTGCATTTTAACAAGATCCCTGGGATTCATGTGCATGGTACAGTTTGAAAAACTCTGCTCTGGTATGTTCTTTAGAGAAAGGAGGCACCTGGATTATTTAAACCATGGCTTTTAAATATTGATTGGATCTTTGTGGTATTTAATTTTTTCAGGTTACTGGTAAACCCCATGGAGACACTTATCTGATGAAAGTTATGAAATAACTCTCCAGAAGCGTGTATAGAAGTCTACCCTGATTTATTGATACATTAAGCAAATATTTATTGAGTGCATTCACAATGCACACAAACATTATATAAAGATTCAGGGGTTCATAGTCCTCTTCAGCCTGAAATCCATGGAATCTTCTGTAATTCTTACGTAAAGAAGGCATTCTATTTTTTATTTTGTCTGTTTCTTTTTCTTCTTTTTCTTTTCTGTAATGGCACTATGTTCTGGAAATCATAGTTGAAAGGATTCAAGTTATGATCTAGGAAGAGCTCCCTGACAGTGAGATCTAGAAAACAGCTATGAGCACTGGGGGCACATTTAGATTTTTTCCTTAGGAAAGTCTGAAGAAAGAACAGACACTCATCTTTCTAGAACTGACATGTGGGGTATCATCACATCCTCAAAGATTCTCCTTTATCCCGACCTCAACCAAGGCCTATAGTTTTGGAAGTTATTTACATGATACACAGACCTGGTTGAGCCATGACAAGGCTCTAGAAATAATGCTACCTAGAGTGAAGTGAAGGGAAACAGTAATTCTAGCAACAGAGGAAATGAACATTAACAGGGATACTCCAAATGTTGAAGCCTAGATTTCCTACCCAAGACGCTTTAGAGATGTAGTATTTTTCTCAGAGCACATACACAGGAAGATCAAACCTTTTGTAAATGTCCCTTGACGTGCTTTTTATAATGTCAAAGCCACACAGGGCTGCCTTTGTTGTTTCATTACATCATCTAACAGGCCAGAGGATGCCCCTCAGTTTGTGTGAAGATCTGGCAATTCAAGATTTTTACAGCCTTTCCTGCTGGCTTTTGGGAAGCAGTGAACAGCAATTCCAATGCCATGTACAGCCCATGTAGTATCTCTAGTTATCAGAGGAAATCAAATAATACCATTTTACAGTGGTACAAATTAATAAAAGTGCTATATTAATGACAAATAGCTGTGTTCCTATCTATACATTTGAAATTATAATTTAAAAAAATTAGTCAAGATGGCTGATTGTTATAACCAACCAGTTGCTATCGAGTCCCATTGGGAACCCATGTGTGCACAGTAGAACTGTGCTCCATAGATTTTTCAGTGGCTGTGACCTTTCGGAAGTAGTTCACCAGGGTTTCTCTGGAGGCACCTCTGGGTGGATTTGAACCACCAACCTTTTAAGCTGATTGTATAAGGAATAAAAACTAGAAGAAAAAAAAAACTGGAAGGCCTATGACTAAATGGAAATATTTTTTTTTTTTTAGTTGAATTTAAATAGTGTGACTTGAGGGAGCCCTCACAAAGAGTCTTTTTACTTTCCCTCAGCCTCCTTGTTTTCCCTTAGATTACTTTTGCTCAATTAAATATGAATTTTTCATTGTTCAAAACCAGCCCTTTTGTTCCAAACCCTAGCCTGCACCACTTTTGCTCACATATACAGTTCCATAAGCTTTGTCACCATAGAAACATTGGCCCCGGATGCTGTTGATGTGGGGTGGGCGGACCACAGAGGAGCATCTCAGCTGTCCCTGAGAGCAGTTGGAATCTGTTCAGCGTGGCCAGTTAGCTCTCATGCCTCTGCCTGTCATGTCAACAGCAGGGAAGGGGCCTTATTGCAGCCCCCACCTCCACCCTCCAAAGACCAGCAGTCACCCTAGCAACAGGCAAACAGGGACAGGCAGGATCCAGCACAGCAAGTGTCTCACCAGGAAAGTAGCTGCTTGGACACTGTAAATTACTATGTCCTGATTTCCTAATTGAAAACAGATTTGCCACGCAGCTAAAGAGGGGTTAACGACTGCACAGGGCCCTAAGTTCACTTCGTTTCTAAAGCCTCCAGCCCATTTCTAATCCTCTTAAAAGGCTGGAGCCTTTCTGCTTTGAGCATTGCATTTAAGAAAAATGTAGAACCCAATTTTCATCAAAGGCAGTTTGGTTAAAAATAGGGGCCTGCCACAGGTATTCGTTTATCCAGCAAACACATTTTGAGTGGTACCTAGGACCATCAGCATTGGCAAGGAGGAAGACCCACTTCTGTCAAGTCGATTCCAACTCACAGTGACCCTATAGGACAGAGTAGAACTGCCCCATAGGGTTTCCAAGGAGCAGCTGGTAGATTCGAACTGCTGACCTTTTGGTTAGCACTCAAAATGTTAACCACTGCGAAGAGAAGATAAAAACGAAAAGGGCACCATCTTGTCCCCAGAAGAATCTTGAGGTTCAGCGGCAGTGCTGGCCTGTTGAATTTGAGTCAGCTTACATTTTTTGAGAATGTGCTCTGTGCCAGGCACTGTTATATGCATTATGGTTAAAAGATCAAAGAGGAAAACTGTTCGTCACTGAAGCTGACATACAAGATTGACCAAGGGCTTCCATGGTAAAGCGATCTGTGAGTCACGTCGTTTTAAAGATCCCGATTTAGGGGGTTCTGTTATTTCTTTAAGGTCCCTGGGTGGTGCAAACGGTTTGCGCTCAACTGCTAATCTAAGTGTTGGCAATTCAAACCTACCCAGCAACTCTGTGGAAGAAAGTCCTGGCAATCTGCTTCTGTAAAGATTCAAGCCAAGAAAACCCTATGGAGCAGTTCTACTCTGTAACACATGGGTCACCAAGAGTCGCAATTGACTCCATGGCAACGGTTTGGTTTTCTGGTATTATTTCTTTGGCGTCCCTGGTGGTGCAAATGATTAACGTGTTGGCAGCTAACCAAAAGGTTGGAGGTTCGAGTCCACTCAGAGACACCGCTGAAGAAAGACTTGGCAATCTACTTCCAAAAAATCAGTCACTGAAAACCCTATGGAGGACAGTTCTCTTCTGACACAGATGGTGTCGCCATGACTCGAAGTTGACTCAAGAACAACTGGCTTTTATTGTTTCTTTTGCCTTTTCCACCCCTGCCATAACCATATTATCTTTCCTTGCTGATCGCCTTCATATAATCAGAGTTTTTGCGTCACAGCTTTTCAATGGAAACCATACTTGATTCATTCTCCTTAAAACAAACAAACAAAAAAAATTGTTTTAGAAGCCAGTTAGATTGGTAGATAGAGTGAAGTCAAAGAGGAGAAGTTAGGAAGCTTTCCCTTAAATAATGTATCTGGATTATGTAAAGAATATAAAAAATGTCAAGTTCTTACCAGAGCAGGCTTCATACAACGGAAAGGATAGGACGTTTTCACGCTGATTGTGCATAAAAGGCCTTCACCAGCTTCACCCTCAGGGTAACAAATGTCTTTTCTTGAAACCCCAGTGGGCAGTCACCCATTGCTTGGTAAGCCCCATCTGTAGAGCTCCATGATTTAGAAATTTCTTCCTTCTATTAAGCTCTAGTCTAATTTTCTGTACTCTATGCTCACTTAAAATGGTTCTGCCCTCTAGAACAGCACTGTCCAATAGAACTTTCTGCAATGATAGAAATGTTCTACGTCTGCACTGTCCAATATGATAACTACCAGCCACGTGTGACTATTGAGCACTTGAAATGTGGCTAGTTTGACTGAAGAATTGAAATTTTAATTTTATTTAGTTTAAATCACCAGATGTGGCTAGTGGTTGCTCTATTAGAAGACACAGCTCTAAAAGTAAAACAAATCTCCAAATATCTCTAAGGACTGTCAGGTAGAAGAGATACAAGATCAGTTGTTTCATTCCTCCCCTAAGTCTTTCAAGATAAAGACTCCATGTCCTAAATGTATGTTACTTGGTTTCTAACCCCACGGAGACTGCCCACTTTGTGCTGGCGAGGCTCCAGTCTTCTTCCACATTGTGGGTCACTGTGTACCCAGCTAATGCCTGGGATTTATGGGTAAAGGAGATTAAGGCAGGATGCGGTTTGGCTAGACCTGTGATGCTGAGAGTTAGAAAGTCTGTTGTAGGTGAGGCACTGCCATGACTAGGGGTGTAGCTTTGGACCATACCCTTGACCTCTGGGCACTCAGTGTCTGTTTTACATAATGAAGAGTTTGAGCTGGATGATCTCTGAAGTGCCTTTAGCTCTGATGTTCCTTTCTTAATTCCTATAACTAAGCAGAATGAAAAATTGGAACTTGTTTTTCAAAAGCACTTATTAAATGCCTGGAGCACTAATCACCGCACTGAGTAATTTATGAAAATAATCCTGCCCTCTAAAAAAAACACAGATAGATAATAGAGATACATAAATCCAAAGAAAAGTGGGGGCAAGACTAAGCCCAAGTACAATATTCCTCTGTTATACAGGTTGAATGTTACCCATTTGCAAAACTAGCTTCCTTTATTAATAACATTAATTACCTCCCCCACCCTATGCACAGACTTTTTTAATGCTTATAAATCACCCACAAAAATCTCATTTAACCTCTCAACCATCTATTAGGTAGGCAAATGAGAATTAACTTTAATAAGACACCTTTTCTCCAAAGAACACAGGATACCACCTGAGAATTTGAAATAATAACAAGCAGCATTCTACCTTTGGCCTTTTAAATCATCTTCATAGTAAATATAACAAGGTAGGTGAAGGCAGAAAAACCCGTCTTCTACGGCTGTTGTATTAACAATTACAGCTAGCACATCTTGAACATTTAGTATGTTCCAGATACTGTCCTAGATGCCCATCCAAGGCCTTAGTTTCCTCACCCCACACCATTTATAAGAACAACCAAATAATAATAGTAATAGACTCATTTATTGAATGCCAGGCTCTGTTTCAAGTATTTTCCATAATCCGGTGAGACTGATACTCTTAAATATCCAATGTTACACATAAGAAAACCAAGGTTCAGAGAGGTTAAGTGAGTTTTCCCAGGTCACACAGCAGGTAAAATATGCAATCAGAACTCCAAACCAGCCCTTTCAAGCCCCTGCTCTTTACCGTGTGCTCTGTTGTCTTGCAGACTCCATCCATACTCCCAGCCCTGAATCTGCTCCATCCCTCACCAAGCATCATGCCAGAGGAGAAAGGTTATACCTCCTGTTAAGGAGGTATAATTTCTATTTCCCCAAACAAGAGATTAAAGTTTATGGCCTTGGCAGTTCTAGAGGAAATGGCCCATGGTCATGAATAATAGAGGCTTTGTCTCTACAGCTCCAAATATCCAGCAGCAAAATGAGCAATTCCGACTTCATACAGTTTCCAAATCTCCAGATGGCTGGCGGCCTTGACAGAGCCTGGCAGAGCCCAGGCCTTGGTCATAAAAGCCTAAATTTGAATATTGAGTCTGTCACTCTTACTGTGTGACCTCAAGCAAGTTATTAAACCTTTGTGGGCCTCAGTTTCCACTGCTGTATAATGGGGATAATCGCTGCTTTCTGGGGTTATTAGAGGGATTGCATGAAATTACATGTACAGTGTCTGGTATTCAGGAGGTGTCCAATAAATGCTTGTTGATTTCTCCTCTCCCCCACCTCATTGTAATTGTGGGGCTCTGCAACTTCGCCTCTGTTAAGCACAGTCTGACTCCTGTATGTGCAGCAGTGATCGTGTTATAGGAAAGAGGAAGCATTGCGTCAGGCTGGGTGGGGTAAGGCAAAGCTATGATGGTGCCCAGGAATAAGATCAAGGTTATGCTCTTCCATAGAAGACTTTCTTCTGCATTTGAATCTTAAGTAACATTACTGAGAAATCTTACAGTAACAGTGAGCAATTCAACTTATGTACTTTAACCTCCTATTTGAGGTGACATGGCAGTTAACCAATGTTAGGGGAAAATCAATATGGCCTTATATGTATAGAAAAATGATGTTTTATTATCCTCTGTACATGGAGTAATAACCCTGATAAGGCCAACAAAGCGTTGACTGGAAGAGGAAGTAGTGTGACTTCCTTGAATACACAAACCAGAATGATTTACAGTCATCATGTTGCTGGTTTATATAAGCCCGTGGAAACTGCTAAAGCTCTTATAAGCAGAGAAACGTTTCCATTACCTAGTATGGTGGAAGGAGAATTAGAACTTGGGAGTCAGACAGACCAGGGTTTGAATTCAGACTGTTTTATTTCTTACTTAGTGACCTGGGGCAAATCACTGAATTTTCTGAGCCCTGGGGTTTCCTCACCTATCATCCCACCCACTGCCATGGAGTTGATTCCAACTCATAGTGACCCCATAGGGTTTCCAAGGTTGTAAATCCCTAAGGAAGCAGACTGCCACATCTTTCTCCCGCACAGCCTTCAGTAGTTTCAAACCGCTGACCTTTCGGTTAGCAGTCGATCGCTTTAACCACTGCGCCACCAGGGCTCCTTTCACCTATAATAGAGGGATAATAATAGCACTGGCTTCCCAGGGTTGTTGTGATCACTGAGCCTCTAACTTGAGTGTGCATTAGAATCCCCTGAGAGCTTGTTAAACACAGATCCTGGTCCCTACCCCTAGAGTTTTCTGATTCAGTAGATCTGGGATGTGGCTGAGAATTTGCATTTCTAACAAGTTCCCAGGTGATACTTTTGTTGCTGGTCCAGTGACCTCACTTTGAGAACCACTGGTTTTTCAGCATCAGTAAGATGAAGTAGAGAAAGCACTGTGCACATAGTAAGACCATCTTAAACCTTAGTGAAGATGATGGTGATGATGATGATTGTGTCTTTACACTCTTTTCTCATATGATTTATTATTATTATTATTAGGTGTGGGCAGAAGAAAAAGTTGGTGATTAACAATGGCAATGGAGCTGTGGAAGACAGAAAGCCAAGTGGACTCAACGGAGAAGCCAGCAAGTCTCAGGAAATGGTGCATTTGGTGAACAAGGAGCCATCAGAGACCCCAGACCAGTGCATGACAGCCGATGAGACACGGAACCTGCAGAATGTGGACGTGAAGATTGGGATGTAACACCCACCCCACTATCTTGGAAAGAAACAACATCAGATGTATCACTGTTACAGGGAGCTGGGACAGACACTTAACAGATGCAATGTGCTACTGATTGTCTTATTTGGGATCTTTTTTGGCATAAAATTTTCTACTCTTTTTTTTTTTTTAGACAAGTCCAATTTATAAAATCAGCATTGCTTTCTGAAATGAGGGTCCAATTAAAAATTGGCACGAATTTGACGGTTCCAATTCCCACCTAGAGGCCGCTCACCTCAATGGATGGCTTCTACCAAAAGCCACACAAATACGTCTTCCTGATCCCAGACCTTCCCCCCGCCCCACCTCCCAGGTAGCAGCTACCTGTTAAGAATATTCCCCAGGGCTACGAGGGATTGGTCTCTGGGAGGAAATTTGAATGGGTCCATATTTCCCTTCCACTAGCCCAATCCCTGGGCATTGCTTTCCACTGGGGTACGGGTTCGGGATGTACTGATTACACACCCCCTCCTACAGACCCCCCTGGAAAATTTTCAGATGCTTCTGGGAGACACCCAAAGGGTGAAGCTATTTATCTGTAGTAAGCTATTTATCTTCGTTTTTGAAATATTAAACCCTGGAGGTCCTTTGATCAGAATGATTTTTTTTTTTAATTACTTTGTCAGAGGCATAAAAGGGCTTAAGCTGATTCATAATAAACGTCTGTACTTCTGCCACCTTAACTCTTTGTGCTGTGATCCTTCAGTTTCTAAACCAGAAAGGTCTGGGGCCCCACAGCCAATAAAAGAGATGTAGGCATCATCCTCCTTAGGCTCACTCAGCCAAATCTCACAGAAGATCAAGGAAGATAGCACTATTTTATTTCTCAGGCTGTCCAAAGTCTTTCTGTCCCACCCTAAAACCAGCATTGTGAGACGAGGAGCTTAAGCCACATTTGTGTTTTAACGGCCACCTGTTGTCTCCCCTTGAAGGGATTTGAAAAATCAAATTAAATTTGCATGACCTATCATTTGTGGGGTCCCATTTCATAGACAATGACCCTATTAGTGATGTCCAAGAACAATACAAAAGTGCCTTTGGACCTCTTGTAATAAAAGGAGAAGCCAATGGAAATGAAAGATTGGCATGGGTGGTCAAGGGGTGGGAAGTATAGATCCCTTTCAAGTATTTGTATGGCTCTGTTATTTATTTATACTGACAAGTCAGTTGTCTCCACTCTCCCTGATGCAGTTGCTACTTAGGATAAATTAAGTGCCTGGAGAATGTCTCAAAAGGTTACAGGGCTTCCCGCAATTGGAACCTTATCACCAGATAGATGGCTTTATGGCAAAAAAAAAAAAAAGAGAATAATGGCTTTATGTTCTGATCTCATATTTTCCCCCACTTGGTAGCTCCTTTGTGGTCTTTACGCATCAGTCAGCACACTCCATTGGTCCTGGAACTTCCAAAGGCTACTTGTAATAGAAGAGATTGAATCTTTAAAGTAAGTGTTCCGATAAAACTGGACCTCCTTCCCTAGGCTGCCATAAAAAGTCACCTGTTGCTTGAAATGATAAGATTAACTAGTAGTGTTTCTCAGACTGGGAAAAAAAATCAAGCAGGAGGAGAAGAAAGAGATAAAGCTCTCACATAACTTAGGACAGGGCTTAAACAAAGAGTTGATTCTGAAAGATACAATTTAAAGAAGAAATGCTCCTTTCTGCACTATTTTCCAACCTCTGCTCTCCCCTATCTCCCCCCCTCCCCCCTCCTTTGAAAAACCTCCTATCTCTTCCTCTGTGAACATCACTGACCAATTCCATAAGCATCTGTCTGGCTTTCTCTTTATTTTGCTTCCCAAGCTGAAAGAAAACAGATATCAGGTCCCTCTGGTTCTTGCATTATGTTACTGCCATTAGTGTTAAAATATCTCCCTCCTCCCGCCACCTGCCACCCCTCGCCCAGCTTTCCAAGAGCTTTGCTGGGTCTTCTGCATATCAGACAGGCTCATTCAGGCTCCTGAGTCCAGATACAACAAGCCACTCTGGGGCCAGTTTCAGGAGGGTTGCACGAGGCTCTTCTACCTGTCTCCTAGGTTCTCTCTGGGCCATGGATAGTTATACAAGTCTCATAGATAGGGATGCTTTTCCACCCCTTCCAGGCATCCCCAAAGAAATAGATTGAGATAGGAGATTATTTTCAGTTTTATTTTTAAGTTGAATATGATCTTTCTTTTTGTTGTTATTGTTGTCCTTTACTTAGATATACTTCTGTGTTTACAAGACAGGAATAAGGGAGGTCTAGAGCTTCTCACCCTTTAGTGGAGAACTGCCCAAGTTTTTGCAATACCCCTGCAAAATTTCCTGAAGTTCACGGAATCTGGTGTATTCTCACCCATGTAACATAATGGCATAACTATGCAAGCACAGCTTCACTGTATGTCATTCCTACCAGTGACTCGCCAGGTGACCTGGGCTTAGTCATTAATCAGTAGTCAGTTGCTGTTGAGTCACCTCTGATTCATTGTGATCCCATGTCTGTCAAAAATTGTGCTCCATAGGGTTTCCAATGGCTGACTTTTCTTTTTTGGAAGTAGATCACTAGGCCTTTCTTCCAAGGCACTTACTTCTAGGTGGACTCAAACTTACAACGTTTTGGTTAGGAGCCGAGTGTGCTAAATAACCATTTATACCACCTGGGCCTTGTTTTTAAAAGTAAGGGTTCAACATTTAACTATTTTGCAAAGCAAACTGAGAGCTTAAGATGTAATTTTTCCTGCAATTGTAAATAATTTGTGCCTCCTGAGGACATTCCTTAAATTAGCACTGGGTGAAAAATCAAATGGGACAAAAGATACCTTCGTATCCATTCCATATTTTTCAGGTTCTAGCCTGGCAGAATGGGTTTCTCCAGCAGAACCTTTCCAAAAAAATTTGTATTGTGATCCATGACACCAAAAATTGATTCTGTGGCCAAGGTTCATCCAATACTACTGAAACAGAGGACTGGAAAAGAGGAAACCCCAAGTTCTCTGGAAGAGTAAAATGTACTTAAGAATAGAAATAACATGGTCCATTCGCCTTTGTGTCATAGGAATGTCTTTTTGCAAATCACTTGTGTTGACTTTTAAAAGAATAGCTTATTGTTCATGCATGTACAATGACCACTGTTACTTTGCCTTTTCACACCACACCCCCTGATTTTTGTATATTTATTGATGGATGAGTAACAATGAGGAAAGCATAATATGTGTATTGCCAAGTTGAAAGCACTTATTGGAAACTATCAAAAAGCTCATATTAAAAGGCTAATGGAAATGGATTGAGGAGTCTCTAATTTAAGGGAGATGGGAGGCTGGGAAGGGCAGAGCTGTGATTATCTGACTTTCTGGGTAATTTAGAAGCATGAAGTCAAAGTTTTCTGAAATGACCGAAACCTTACACTCATCTTATTTTTTTTTCTAAAAGAAAAAAATTACATAGGTTTACATCACTTGAAAGTCTTTCTTTGGAGAAAAGTTGATTTTTCTTAGGAGGTTTGTGGTCTACATTTTTCAAACTAAATGACATCCCATAAAGTGTTAGTTTCTTAACACCAAGAACTACTTGGTTGAACTACTTAAATGAACATACTTGCCTCCATTCTCTCATGCAAGGCCTCTAAAAAGACAGTAAATAGATATTCCAAAAAGGCGTAAACCGGTGGGGTCAAAGAGAATGAAAGAAGTGACAATAGCAATGAAATCGTGAAACTGGAAAGTGATGTTCAATTGGTAATTGGTTAAGCAAATTTGGAAAAGCTGAATCCTAAGCTAGCAGTTGGGACAGTTAAGAAGCAACCAGATTTATGTGGCAGAATCCCCAAAGGCTCAGGAATTGGCAACATGAGCTACTTCTGGAAGAGGAATTAAAAAAAACCCAAAACCAAAGCCACTGCTGTCAAGTTGATTCCAACTCATAGCAACCCTATGGGATGGAGCAGAACTGCCCTATAGGGTTTACAGAGAAGATTGCCACATCTTTCTCCCACAGAACAGCTGGCAGGTTCGAACTGCTGACTTTTCTGTTAGCAGCTGAGCACTTAACCATTGTGCCAAAATTAGGAGAATGGGTTGAAAAATCTATTTAAGAAGAAGTTAGAGCCCTAGACCTCCTCCCACACTCTACATAACTAGGTGACTGTCCTTTCCGAACCTTGGCAAAGGATTGGATGTTTATTCTCTGGAGAGAGTGAAACAGAAAGTCTCTCGTTAGGGACCACAAGGTATACACAGTTGACAGTATAAACACAAGACCGAAAAAGTGAAATTTTGCATGAGAAATGTTGAGCCCCCCACCCCCACCCCCCGCCCCAGCTTTTCCCCCTAGGCTAGCTTCCAGAATGCTGGCAGCCAAGCATGTGTTCTCCAGATAGAAGCTCAGTCTTCATGGGGAATCTGAAAAGCCTGAGAGAAAACCTTAAAGACACTGTGTTAGTTTCCTGTATTAGTTGCTCTAACAAAGTACCACAAACTGGGTGACTTAAAACAACAGAAATTTATTGTTTCACAGACAGGAGCTTAGAAGTCTGAAATCAAGGTGTGAGCGGGGTCATGCTCTCTCTGAAGGCTCTAGGAGAAGATCCTCCTTCGCCTTGTCCTTGCTTCTGATAGTTCCTGGCAATCCTTGGCATTCCTTGATTTGTAGTTGCATCACTCTAGTCTCTGACTTCATCTTCTCACGGCCATCTTCACTCCGAGTCTGTGTCTCTGCTTCTCTTTTATAAGGACACCAGTCATATTAGATTACAGTCCACCCTACTTCAGCATGACCTCATGTTAACTAATTAATCTGCTAAGACCCTATTTCCAAAGTCACCTTCATAGATACGGGAGGTTAGAACTTCAACATATCTTTTTGAGAGACATGATTCAAATCATAACAGATACTAACATGGTAGTTCCCCAAAGAAATGGCAAATCAACATTCAGTGAAGATCACATCTTAGGTCCCACCATGCACACAGAGCTCTGAGTTTCTGTGGCTCACTCTCAAACATGAATGACAGCCAAGAAGCACCAGACAGTTGATGAAACTATCTGATTTTAAAGACAGGGACTAAAGTCACCAGAAAAAGCAACATGGAAGAAAGAGAGACTATTCAGGGAGATGAAAACTTTAAAAAAACGATCGCTTATAGCATCAGTGAGATAAGAGGAGATTGTGTGTTTATGAAGCAAGAACACAATGCTAGGATAAAAAGCAACATGCAGAGAACACATAAAAAAGGCAGCTGTTTAAACTTCAAAGATGAAAGCATAAAGTAAAAAATAAATTCAATAGAAAGTTTGAAGAATAAAGTTGAAGGAATATCTCAGAAAATAGAGTAAAGACAAATAGAAACAGAGGGGAAAAGAGAAGACATGTAGAGAATCAGGTAGGAAATCTAACATACAAGTAACAGGAGTCACAGAAAGAGAAAACAGAGAAAATGGAAAGGAAGAAATTATATAAGAAACAAATCAAGAAAATTTCCCAGAACTGAAGAACAATAGACATCTAGATTGAAAGAACCAAGGGAGTGCTTAGCACAATGAATTAAAACAGACCCACACTAAGGCATTTTATCTTAACAATTCATAATATCATCCTATAGGCTTCTAGAGAGGAAAAATGGCTATCATATAGAGTATCAAGAATCAGAATAGAATTGGACTTCTCAACAGTCTCATTGGAAGATAAAAGACCATGAAACAGGAGTTTCAGAAGGAAGTACCGGCAGTTCAGAAGGAAGAAGGAGGGAAGAATAGGTGGAGCACAGGGCATTTTTAGGGCACAAAACTGTTTTGTATGATACTGTAATGGTAGACGCATGACATTACATATTTGTCAAAACCTATAGGGCTGTACAACACAAAGAGTAAACCCTAATGTAAACTGTGGACTTTAGTTAGTGATAATGTATTAATATTGGTTTATCAATTGTAATAAATGTACTACATGAATGCAAGATGTTAAGAATAGGAGAAACAGTATACAGGGTGGAGAGGGAGTATATGGAAACTGTACTTTCTGAACAATTTTTCTGTAAACCTAAAACTACTCTAAGAAACAGACTATTTTAAAAACAGTAACTAATTAAAAATTCCGAGGGTAATGTTTCCAAGTTAGAGCTCCAATTTTAGCTAAACCGCAAGTTAAGTGTAAGGGTAGAATGAAGACATTTCAGATATGCATAATCTTAAAACCTATTCACCCATTCTCAGTCAATTCCTGAAGGATGTGCTCCAACAACAACAAAAAAGGAATTACCAAGACAGAGGAAGGCATGAGAGCCAGGAAACAAAGTAAAGGGAATTCCTAAAACGATGACATAGAGAAATCCCAAGATGAC